CTTTTGGGATCCGGTTGCGGTTCTAGTTCTTATACCCAATCATAAACACGAGATCTAGTCATATTTGACTCCAAAAACACTAACCAAGCTTCTTATTGCTTCTCAAATCTTTGTGGGTGTGGCCGAAGTCCTATGAGTTTTCGGTTTTGGAGCTTCTAAACGGAAAAACACTGTACTTTAGCTTTTGGGATCCGGTTGCGGTTCTAGTTCTTATACCCAATCATAAACACGAGATCTAGTCATATTTGACTCCAAAAACACTAACCAAGCTTCTTATTGCTTCTCAAATCTTTGTGGTTGTGGCCGAAGTCCTATGAGTTTTCGGTTTTGGAGCTTCTAAACGGAAAAACACTACTTTAGCTTTTGGGATCCAGGTTGCGGTTCTAGTTCTTATACCCAATCATAAACACGAGATCTAGTCATATTTGACTCCAAAAACACTAACCAAGCTTCTTATTGCTTCTCAAATCTTTGTGGGTGTGGCCGAAGTCCTATGAGTTTTCGGTTTTGGAGCTTCTAAACGGAAAAACACTACTTTAGCTTTTGGATCCGGTTGCGGTTCTAGTTCTTATACCCAATCATAAACACGAGATCTAGTCATATTTGACTCCAAAAACACTAACCAAGCTTCTTATTGCTTCTCAAATCTTTGTGGGTGTGGCCGAAGTCCTATGAGTTTTCGGTTTTGGAGCTTCTAAACGGAAAAACACTACTTTAGCTTTTGGGATCCGGTTGCGGTTCTAGTTCTTATACCCAATCATAAACACGAGATCTAGTCATATTTGACTCCAAAAACACTAACCAAGCTTCTTATTGCTTCTCAAATCTTTGTGGGTGTGGCCGAAGTCCTATGAGTTTTCGGTTTTGGAGCTTCTAAACGGAAAAACACTACTTTAGCTTTTGGATCCGGTTGCGGTTCTAGTTCTTATACCCAATCATAAACACGAGATCTAGTCATATTTGACTCCAAAAACACTAACCAAGCTTCTTATTGCTTCTCAAATCTTTGTGGGTGTGGCCGAAGTCCTATGAGTTTTCGGTTTTGGAGCTTCTAAACGGAAAAACACTACTTTAGCTTTTGGGATCCGGTTGCGGTTCTAGTTCTTATACCCAATCATAAACACGAGATCTAGTCATATTTGACTCCAAAAACACTAACCAAGCTTCTTATTGCTTCTCAAATCTTTGTGGTGTGGCCGAAGTCCTATGAGTTTTCGGTTTTGGAGCTTCTAAACGAAAAACACTACTTTAGCTTTTGGGATCCGGTTGCGGTTCTAGTTCTTATACCCAATCATAAACACGAGATCTAGTCATATTTGACTCCAAAAACACTAACCAAGCTTCTTATTGCTTCTCAAATCTTTGTGGGTGTGGCCGAAGTCCTATGAGTTTTCGGTTTTGGAGCTTCTAAACGGAAAAAACACTACTTAGCTTTTGGGATCCGGTTGCGGTTCTAGTTCTTATACCCAATCATAAACACGAGATCTAGTCATATTTGACTCCAAAAACACTAACCAAGCTTCTTATTGCTTCTCAAATCTTTGTGGGTGTGGCCGAAGTCCTATGAGTTTTCGGTTTTGGAGCTTCTAAACGAAAAAACACTACTTTAGCTTTTGGGATCCGGTTGCGGTTCTAGTTCTTATACCCAATCATAAACACGAGATCTAGTCATATTTGACTCCAAAAACACTAACCAAGCTTCTTATTGCTTCTCAAATCTTTGTGGGTGTGGCCGAAGTCCTATGAGTTTTCGTTTTGGAGCTTCTAAACGGAAAAACACTACTTTAGCTTTTGGGATCCAGTTGCGGTTCTAGTTCTTATACCCAATCATAAACACGAGATCTAGTCATATTTGACTTCTAAAACACTAACCAAGCTTCTTATTGCTTCTCAAATCTTTGTGGGTGTGGCCGAAGTCCTATGAGTTTTCGTTTTTGGAGCTTCTAAACAGAAAAACAGTACTTTAGCTTTTGGGATCCGGTTGCGGTTCTAGTTCTTATACCCAATCATAAACACGAGATCTAGTCATATTTAACTCCAAAAACACTAACCAAGCTTCTTATTGCTTTTCAAATCTTTGTGGGTGTGGCCGAAGTCTTATGAGTTTTCGGTTTTGGATCTTCTAAACGGAAAAACACTGTACTTTAGCTTTTGGGATCCGGTTGCGGTTCTAGTTCTTATACCCAATCATAAACAAGAGATCTAGTCATATTTGACTCCAAAAACACTAACCAAGCTTCTTATTGCTTCTCAAATCTTTGTGGTTGTGGCCAAAGTCCTATGAGTTTTCGGTTTTGGAGCTTCTAAACGGAAAAACACTACTTTAGCTTTTGGGATCCAGTTGCGGTTCTAGTTCTTATACCCAATCATAAACACGAGATCTAGTCATATTTGACTCCAAAAACAATAACCAAGCTTCTTATTGCTTCTCAAATCTTTGTGGCTGTGGCCGAAGTCCTATGAGTTTTCGGTTTTGGAGCTTCTAAACGAAAAACAGTACTTTAGCTTTTGCGATCCTGTTGCGGTTCTAGTTCTTATACCCAATCATAAACACAAGATCTAGTCATATTTAACTCCAAAAACACTAACAAAGCTTCTTATTGCTTTTCAAATCTTTGTGGGTGTGGCCGAAATCCTATGAGTTTTCGGTTTTGGAGCTTTTAAACATAAAAACAGTACTTTAGCTTTTGGGATCCGGTTGCGGTTCTAATTCTTATACCCAATCATAAACACAAGATCTAGTCATATTTAACTCCAAAAACACTAACCAAGCTTCTTATTGCTTTTCAAATCTTTGTGGGTGTGGCCGAAGTCCTATGAGTTTTCGGTTTTGGAGCTTCTAAACGGAAAAAACTGTACTTTAGCTTTTGGGATCCGGTTGCGGTTCTAGTTCTTATACCCAATCATAAACACGAGATCTAGTCATATTTGACTCCAAAAACACTAACCAAGCTTCTTATTGCTTCTCAAATCTTTGTGGGTGTGGCCGAAGTCCTATGAGTTTTCGGTTTTGGAGCTTCTAAACGGAAAAACACTACTTTAGCTTTTGGAATCCGGTTGCGGTTCTAGTTCTTATACCCAATCATAAACACGAGATCTAGTCATATTTGACTCCAAAAACACTAACCAAGCTTCTTATTGCTTCTCAAATCTTTGTGGTTGTGGCCGAAGTCCTATGAGTTTTCGGTTTTGGAGCTTCTAAACGGAAAAACACTACTTTAGCTTTTGGGATCCGGTTGCGGTTCTAGTTCTTATACCCAATCATAAACACGAGATCTAGTCATATTTGACTCCAAAAACACTAACCAAGCTTCTTATTGCTTCTCAAATCTTTGTGGTGTGGCCGAAGTCCTATGAGTTTTCGGTTTTGGAGCTTCTAAACGAAAAAACACTACTGTAGCTTTTGGATCCGGTTGCGGTTCTAGTTCTTATACCCAATCATAAACACGAGATCTAGTCATATTTGACCCCAAAAACACTAACCAAGCTTCTTATTGCTTCTCAAATCTTTGTGGGTGGGGCCGAAGTCCTAAGAGTTTTCGGTTTTGGAGCTTTTAAACGGAAAAACACTACTTAGCTTTTGGGATCCGGTTGCGGTTCTAGTTCTTATACCCAATCATAAACACGAGATCTAGTCATATTTGACCCCAAAAACACTAACCAAGCTTCTTATTGCTTCTCAAATCTTTGTGGTTGTGGCCGAAGTCCTATGAGTTTTCGGTTTTGGAGCTTCTACATGGAAAATAGTACTTTAGCTTTTGGGATCCGGTTGCGGTTCTAATTCTTATATCCAATCATAAACACGAGATCTAGTCATATTTAACTCCAAAAACACTAACCAAGCTTCTTATTGCTTCTCAAATCTTTGTGAGTGTGGCCGAAGTCCTATAAGTTTTCGGTTTTGGAGATTCTAAACAGAAAAACACTATTTTAGCTTTTGTGATCCGGTTGCGGTTCTAGTTCTTATACCCAATCATAAACACGAGATCTAGTCATATTTGACTCTAAAAACAGTAACCAAGCTTCTTATTGCTTCTCAAATCTTTGTGGGTGTGGCCGAAGTCGTATGAGTTTTTGGTTTTGGAGCTTCTAAACGGAAAAACACTACTTTAGCTTTTGGGATCCAGTTGCGGTTCTAGTTCTTATACCCAATCATAAACACGAGATCTAGTCATATTTGACTTCTAAAACACTAACCAAGCTTCTTATTGCTTCTTAGATCTTTGTGGGTGTGGCCGAAGTCCTATGAGTTTTCGGTTTTGGAGCTTTTAAACATAAAAACAGTACTTTAGCTTTTGGGATCCGGTTGCGGTTCTAATTCTTATACCCAATCATAAACACAAGATCTAGTCATATTTAACTCCAAAAACACTGACCAAGATTCTTATTGCTTTTCAAATCTTTGTGGGTGTGGCCGAAGTCTTATGAGTTTTCGGTTTTGGAGCTTCTAAACGGAAAAACTGTACTTTAGCTTTTGGGATCCGGTTGCGGTTCTAGTTCTTATACCTAATCATAAACAAGAGATCTAGTCATATTTGACTCCAAAAACACTAACCAAGCTTCTTATTGCTTCTCAAATCTTTGTGGGTGTGGCCGAAGTCCTATGAGTTTTCGGTTTTGGAGCTTATAAACGGAAAAACAGTAAGTTCGTCTACTAACAGTCTCTTTTATAATCTTGTTGTATTTACATTTAATCAATGTTTTCGTTTTTTCAATTTTAGCATGCAGCTACAACATCTACAAGATTCTAGTGAAAGATGTAGACGTGATTCGGCATTTTTATGGCATACACATTCTCAGAAATTTGCCTCCTGGTTAAAGAACAGTTATGTTGACTATTTTTATGGTTTTTTTTGTTTATCATCTATTCTTTTACAATATAGTAAATGACTGTTGACAATTTTTAAAACAGATACCTATCTTCTGATCATGAAAATACACTTAAGTGGTTAGCATATGGTCCTCGTCTATGCGCAAGGTCTTACACGGGTTACATAGTCAATGGCAATCGGTTTCATATAGTTTCGGTTGATTGGCAAACTCAGAACTGTGGTGTGTTGCATGAGGGCACAGCAATGTGTATAGCTAGTGCAAAAGACAATTCTCCAATAGTTGATGTTGTGTCTTACTATGGCAGAGTGGTGGATATTATACTGCTTGATTACAATGTCTTCTACATTCCTATATTTAGGTGCCAATGGGCAAATATAGGTAATGGAGTAAAGGAAGAAGATGGATTCACACTTGTCAACCTTAACCAAAGTCAAGCTTCATTTGCAAGAGATCCATACATACTAGCATCTCAAGCACAACAAGTTTTTTATTCAAGGGTAGATGATTTATCGAGTTTGTATGTAGCTATGAGAGATTCTAAGAGAAGATACAGTGCAGAAGATGCTGAATATGGAACTGCGAACGTTGGGCCATTGCATGTATTAGTAGACATGGATGAAGATGACTTGGTTTGATGAAGCTAGGAATGCCCGAGCTGACTGTGAAGGGATTTATGTGTGAAATTATACTATATGTGATTGTTTTTTGTATATATGATTGGTTAGAATGTGTGTTTTCTGTGAATGAGATTGTTTTCTAAACAAGTATCTGTTTTGATAAACAAGTGATTTCTTTTGTTTCAGGTGAACTAAGATGGTCTATAATCGAAAAACGCGTACACAAAAAAAGAAGAAGATTGACGAGCTAGATGAGAAGCAGTTGGAAACTCAGGAATTAGTAGAGAAGCAGTGTGAAACTCAAAATTTGGATAATGAAGTGGATGCTGATTTACAAGAGGATGCTGATATACAAGATGATGACACTTCTCAAAAACAGCCATTAGATGAACTTAATGAAGTGGATGCTGAGTTAGAAGATAAAGAGAATGATGATGAAGACAATGAAGACAATGTAGTTGAACTAGTTGTTGATGATGCTTCTGCTGACAATGAAGATCACACTACGAATGTTGCTGAAAATGTTGCTGAACTAAAGCGTAAAAGGAAGCGAGGACCAACGAAGATGAAAAACATCGCCAAGGATCCAAATGAAAAGGTTCACGTTGATTATACTATCATGGGAGAACCTTGTGGTCCAGGGTCAATACCTTATGCATCATATTTAGGTACAATAGTATGGGAACATGTTCCTTTCACAATCCGGGATTGGAGGAAAGTAAGTGAAGATATCAAAACTGTTTTGTGGAAATCTATTGAGGTATTCTGTAATTTACTTTTACATGTTGCTTCTTTTAATTAGAATTGCTTTGTGTAATTTCTGATTTTTAATTATTCATTTGAATGCAGGCAAGGTTTGATCTTAACCAACCATGGAAAAAAACTGCTGCATTTGTTCAGATGAGAGATATGGAGATCCTCCAAATCACGCATTGTTTCAGCGGTCAGAGGAGCTGATAACATGAAAGATAGGATGAGTCTGCGACCACCTAATATAACTGAACCAGAATGGCGTAAGTTTGTCAAAGAGAAGACTAGTAATGCATTTAAGGTAATAAGTGATTCTATGAAGACGAAAAGGAAGATGCAGATTCCTCATTGTTGTGGCCGTGAAGGAATGGTCAGATTGAGAGAAGAGTTAATCCAGAAAAGCTCAGACCCATCCCAGGTGACAAGAGCAAAAGTGTGGATCGAGTCACGGACCAAGATAGATGGTACTCCTGTAAATATCGATGCGGCTGAAAAGATTGTATGTTATGTTTATTCTTCTTAAATTACTTTATATATTGGTCATCATTAATGAGTGATGTACATTACTTTGGTATTTGTTTGCAGAGGAAAGCAGCCGAGCTAGAAATTGAAGGTACTCAGGATTCAGTTACAACAAATCCAAAGGAAGATATACTTAGTCAAATTTTGGGACCTGATAATCCAGGAAGACTGCGGGCAATGGGCAGAGGGGAAAAGGGGATTTTCATACCCGTACTATCTGCACCGTGGATTTTCATACCTGGACAATTTCGTAGGGTATTTTACAACCTAAACTTCAATAAAATTTGAATCTCATACCTATACTTGATACAACGTGCAAAAATCGGAGTCAATCTAACGGGTGTTAGTCAACTCCATTACGGTGCTGAGTCATCGTACACGTGTACGCTGACGTGTATCAAAACGACGTCGTTTTCATACCTGTACTGTCTGCGCCGTGGATTTTCATACCTGGACAATTTTGTAGGGTATTTTACAACCTAAACTTCAATAAAATTTGAATCTCATACCCTATACTTGATACAACGTGCAAAAATCGGAGTCAATCTAACAGGTGTTAGTCAACTCCGTTACGGTGCGTATCGAAACGACGTCGTTTTGATATGTGTTCTCAAAGTTTTAAATTTTTTTGCAAAACTGGGGACTCGAACCCGCGAGCCGTACTCACATGGTAAAACTTTGTTCATGCCTAATTTCTGAGAAGAAGAAGAAGAAATGAGAAAACGATTTCTCAATGAAAATCCACGGCGCAGACAGTACGGGTATGAAAACGACGTCGTTTTGATACACGTCAGCATACACGTGTATGATGACTCAGCACCGTAACAGAGTTGACTAACACCCGTTAGATTGACTCCGATTTTTGCCCGTTGTATCAAGTATAGGTATGAGATTCAAATTTTATTGAAGTTTAGGTTGTAAAATACCCTACAAAATTGTACAGGTATGAAAATCCACGGTGCAGATAGTACGGGTATGAAAATCCCCTTTTCCCATGGGCAGAGGCATGAGCTTGACCAAACTTTCTTGTTTCCAAGTCAACAGAAACTCTATGGCTGCAATGGAAGCAAATCAGCTTCAATTGAAGAATAGAATTAAGGATTTAGAGCAAATTATTGAAAAAATTTATGATCAGGTTAGTATACTATATACACATTGTTTACTGATATAATATTTACTAAGTTATACTATATGTTGATATGTTTCTGAAATTGCAGAGACAAGAGGGTGATGTTGGTGAAAACTCTATACATAGGAGTGTAAATACCAGAACACTTCCTAAGTGTAATTTGGTTGACTGGACTTCTTTTGATGATAATGTTGTTGAGGGCCGTATTGTTTCTTATGATGCTGATGAATTAGTACATGGGATACCTTTAGGGCCTAATGCAGTTAAGGTTTTTATTGAATCTGCTACCAAGCCAGAAGCTCCACTATGGAGACCTATACCTGAGATGTCTACTATTGAGGATGTAGTTGGAGAAATGATTGCATGGGATGCCGATTTATGTATTGTTCCAAGCGAAGGTGGCATTGCAGAAGACATTGCACCTAAGGTTAAGTATCTTTTATTAATTGTTTTTGTCTGTAGATCACACTTTCTCAAATAATCCTTCTTCCTGTTTTGTACCTTTGTTCCACAGAGTCCTAGCACAAGTTCAAAAAACAGATGCAAACTCAAGGCTTTGGGTAAGAATGATGAAGTGGTAGCTAAAGGCAGATGGCAGTCTCGAGAACTGAAAGCGTTGGTAAATGGACTTCCTATTGGTCCAAATGCAATCAAAGTTTATGTGGATTCGGTTTTAAACACAAAGACATGGCTATGGAGGCCTACAGCGGACATGAGAACTTTGCATGATTCTTTGAACTGTTTTATAGTATGGCCTGCAAATAGAGTTGTGATTGAGACAACATCGAATGAATCCCCTGTTCTTCAACAATCTACATCTAAGGGAGGAAGCATAAGATCTCATAATGAGATATCTCCTGTAATTTTTAAATCTCCTAATATTCCTGTATCTTCGACTAAATCAGCAAGTCCAAGTTATCAGAAGGACAAGTCTCCAGAAACTCCAAAAGCTCCTTTGAAGAAAACAAAACCATCTCTGACAGGGGCATCTCCTCGTCGCAAATCACAGGTACATGATTGGTTGTGGTTGTTCTTGTTGTATGGCTTTAATTTTTGCTCTGTATTTATTTTTTGCTGGTTGTTCTTGAAGCCATCTCTGACAGATGCATCTCCTCGTCGCAAATCACAGGTACATGCTCTTAATAACTTAAGACATAATTGCTGGGTTGTTGATCATTTTAGGGATCATGATTGTTTGTGGTTGTTCTTGTTGATTTATGGCTTTATTATTTTTTTGCTTGTGGTTGATTTCTGTCTATATTTTTTGCTCGTTGTTCTTGAAGCGTCTCGCTTTCAAAGAAAATCAAAAATGCAAGTTGATAGATATATCCGAACAGAAGCGCGTTGTTGCGGAAGGACGTTGGTCGTCTAGCGATCCTGATCAAGAGGTACATCATGTGAAGTTGGGGCCTAAAGCTTGTCGAGTACGGGTGGATGTTGTGATTGTTAACGATGCTGCAGTTTGGAGGCAATCTCCTGAAATCGAGTATATGCAAGATGCACATGGATCTTGTCTTGCCTGGCCAGAAGATAAAATTGTAATGGTGGGTATATACTTTAATTTTACATGTGTTCAAAATATGATGACAATACCCTTTTCAGTTGAAACCTCAGAACAGAAAGTTTTCGATAACTGTTGACTAATTTATTTTTTGTTTTGAGCAGGAACGAATGAGGACAAGTGATGTTTCAGATGGGGGAACGTGTTTTTTAGTTTAAAGACATGACTAGCTACTTTGTGTTCTTTTGTGTCGTACACTGGATCTTTGTCACTTTGTTTTTTTTTTTTTTGGATTATAATGTTGAATCAGAATTTCTATGTTTGAGATATTAATTTAATGGGACAAGTTATTTAATTTTCGTTTTTAAAATGTTTGAGATATACTTAAAAAACTATATAAAAAGATAATAAGCCAATTTTAAAAACTTTGGTTATATTATTAGTTAGAGATAATAATTTGGATATATATCAATATATAAATAATCCAAATAGTTTAGTGAAAAATTAAAAAAATAGATAACCAAATATTAATTGTGAAAATAAATAAAAATTGATGACACAATAAAAAAAAAAAAGGTGTCCGTACGTATGTGCGTAATCAGCCGTACGGACGTGAGTCATCATTCGTACGGACGCACTCACCGTTCGTACGGATGTAGTAGCCGTTCGTACGGACACACTCACCGTTCGTACGGACACATTTACCGTTCGTATGCAAATTGACTTATAGCAAAATTTAATGTATATTTGTATATAATTATGACTTATTAATATTAATTAGCATTAAAAATGAAACTTTATATCATATAGTAATATAAGATATAAACCCTATACCCTATACCCTAAACCCTATACCCTATACTTATATCTCTTAGTTGAAAGCATTCTACACCAATATATGAAAACATGAAATTAACAATGTAAAACGTATAACAAATTAAATTTTAGGCATATTCATTTTATAGATATGAAGTATACATATGAAACTATTGAAAAAAAAAAATCTTTAATATATATTACATTTAGGCACTAATCTTACATTAACTAATTTATTTGTGTATAAATTTGATTAATTAATGATAATATAATTTAAAAATTTTCTAAACTCTAAAATATGAAACTTCAATTTTTATTTAATTTTTACACCATATTCCAAATTTAATACAAAGAAAAATAAGAAAATACTATACTATTAACATACAAATCGTAAAAAAATTATCTCATTGGCTAATTGATTAAGGTGTGGATCACCGAATTATTCATATCTACCGTTGATTAGACTAAATCTAATGGTCAATAATCCACTCTGTTTTAATTAACTATTGTACATCTCGATATCTACTTTTCTGTCTCATTATTCGATGTCTTCAAAGGAAACCCAATAAACTCAATCTCGAAGCTTCTTTCACCATCGCCAAACACAAAAAAACACCATTGCCGAATCTGAAGGTTTTATTCTCTCTTTCTGTTGAATCAGATATTTCTTTTGGATTATGTGCTTTTGCTCGTTTCTCGAATCCCTGATTCTTTTTTTGCTTTCGATAATTTGATTGAATCTTATGTTAATCAAAGTCGATATCTAAAGGTTTTTTTCGTGTATTAGTGTTGCTGTAAAACCATTCGACTCTAACATTCTTTGAGGGTTTGAGACTGATAAATCTGAAGGATATACATACACATAGACATAGATTGAGAAAGGGACCCGAATGATAAATCTGAAAGGATAACTTGTATATTTTTGATTTCATTTGATGTTTTTCAGTTTACTTAATAGTTTTTGTTTCACAATGAAATCTGTATTTCCATTTATTGTTTGTTGAAGTAGATCTGCCTTAGGACAATGAGTATTGCGACATTGATGAGTTGCTGCTTCAGTTTGGAATTAGGTTTTTTCTTTGCTAATGTAAGTCTGACTTAATTGGTCAATGTGAGGTTAATATGTTGGATGTTGAGATTGTTGATGGTGTTTTGCAGATATTCAATAGAATCATCCTAGGCTTTGGCTTTGCAGATATTGAACCCACACTGATAGTGATTCTTATTAGATTTAAGAAAAATAAAAACAGTATCTGTTAAAAGATTTTAACCTTCTGATATATCTTTTCATTTTCATGTTTCGGAGCTAGATATCACAGGTTCTTCCACATTTCGTCATTCAAGCAAAGGTTATATTCTTTTTTGTTGAATTATTTTGCTTTCTTTTGATTGTTGTGGTTGTTGATAAAAAATAAACCTATCTAAACAATATCATATTTGGTACTGCAGAAACTGTTAGTTAAATGGAAGGTAAAGGACTCATATGCGGCCTCCCCGCTAAGAACGTTGTACCAACACTCCGACAACCGACACAACAACAAGCAAAGAACGATCAACAAACTGATGCGGATGAGGAACTGAAGGAGATAACAGCGCTAGAGTTTATACGGTCTTGTGCTCACCTAGGCTACTTAATACGCATCGAACTAGAGGAAGAAGACATTGATCCACTATACAAGCTATGTTGGAGAAACATAAAAAAGGATACACGCAACAACACTGCTAAGAAACGCCCCAAAGTAGAGAAAGGAGAGTCCTCAATCGCAAGACTCTTTGAATAATAATGGCATGGTAGCCACTCTTAGAGTTCATGTTTTTTTAGTTAATGTTGTTATGTTTAGACTTTGTTAAGTTAACTTTATGGTATATGATATTTTATGATTCATTATCTTTCATAAATTAAAGCTAATTACATTTTGTGCAAGTCAATGTTTCAAATAAAAAATTATATATAGATTCAATATAGGTTAAATTTAGATCCAAATTGCAATATAAACAGAATTTCTCAGTGTCATGATAAATATTACATAGTACAAAATAAAAGCCATGAAATCTTATGTTATAGCACGAGGAAAAAGCTGGAAAACATTATTAAACTGCAATTGATAAATGCTCTTGTAAATGATGGTATGGTAATGTATAGTAGCCATTAAAAACTACACAATAGCAAAACAAATGCGCTATATAATACTTTCCTATAGCAAAGATATTATGCTACTATAGTGTTAAATTCGATAACCATAATGTCACGAAACAATATCCACCAGCACATATAATGTGTTATCATTACAAATTACACAGCTCAAAATGATTGCTATATAAACAAACATAATAGCACGATTAAAGCGCTAGTTAATAGTATTAAATAGCGAGCTACCATAGCGCGTAAAAAGTGCTATGGTGGGGGGGTGTAACACCCCCGAACCGCTCTATGACCCGGACAGCCAAGAACGTCCCGGAGACGCTACGTGAAAATGATCATCGACGATCCAGCCGAGGTTCAAGAACAAATCAAGTCCCTTAGCCGATTCACCGATGATATTTTCCCACTTAGAACATTGCTTAGGCTTGCCAACCCTTACGATATTCAAGTGTTGAGTCGACTTGGACGAAGTCTATATCAGTCTACTCGTGGATTTGTACAAGAAACCCGATTTTATTCCTTAAGTATAAATATGTTACAAAGTGTTACAAAGATGCTTATAGAGTTTTGTGGCCAAGGCCTAAAGCCCAAAAGCACTATACATAACATAAACATACTTGTTTTACAAAAGGCACAAAACTACTCCGGGTTTCCTAACGTCCACCATTCTCTCTAGCTTCCCTCTATTGGTTACCTGCAAAACAAGTAGAGTCATGAGTAATCTAAGATTACTCAGTGAGCTCGGGATTCCATGCAACAGCTATTAGTTCCCCATCCCATGATTCTAACACAGAACACGCATCAGAGAGCAACAACGGAAAGTAGCAAGCCAAGAAAGCAATGAATCATGCTTAAGTAAAAACGTGAATTCAAAGCTTTATTTAGTTTTCTAGGGCCCTGATATACTGCCTTCCATAATCGTCATGTCTGTGAACACCCGTGCTATAACCACGAAGGCATATAACCGGAACATCACTATAAGCTACACCGTCGTGTAGGCAGCTTCGGCCAGGGTAGCTAGCCCAGTTTCTCTGAGCTACTCGTACCACGTGAAGTTCATGTTAAATAAAATTAAGCAAGACCTTACGATAGCACGGCCGCCGACGAAGGACAGCTATATCCTAGTCTTGATACGCTTATGGTATGCCCGGACTAAAAGTCACGAGTACCACGCATCAAGACTTGAGATTTGAACAATACTATGAGACATATGGTTAGTGAAAACACATAGAATCATAAGTATCTTTTCAAAATAACCTCCTAAGTATAGGCCTTATGTATTTGAATCGATTGATTACTAATACGGCATAATACTAAGTTCACACAACCAATCAATACTCATAAGATTCAAGAAATCAATCAATGAATGCAAGAGTATATGATCATGCAACCAAACCATATCCTGAACTCACTCAGTTTCCGACGTGCTTAGCAGATTCGGACAGAACTTCTTGGTGATCTTTCTCGATATCGGACAGTTTCTCAGTACAATCAATTCCGCAGCAGCCTCTCCGTTTTTCTCCTCCTTTTTCCCACCAAATGGCTCGAGGATGGTCGAGTATTTATAGGGGAAGGATGGACGAGTCAACAACACACGTGTCAGCCGCACGTACGGACACGTACGGAGCTGCGCACGGAATGGTGACACGTATCCGGCTAACTTTGGCTCCAAGCGACTGAACTTCGGCTCCAAGTGTCTTCTCTTTGGCTCCAAGTTAGGTAGCTTGGGCTCCAAGTCGGCTTGGTCGCGAGTTTGAATTTGGTCAACGTTTGGTAAACGGGCTGCGTACGTACCGCGGTACGATCGGCCTTCGTCCGGATGACAAGTCTCTCGACCCAAATTTACCCACGTTCATAATTCCTCGTACCATCTTCTCCCAATAGATGCCTTGCGATAGATGCCTTGCGATACGTTTGGATGCGTCCGCGTACGTTTGGATGCGTCCGCGTACGTCCGGATATGGTCGGGTACGTCCGGGTACGTCCGGATACGTACAGATACGTCCGACTTCAATCTTTTCTCGTTTAAATCTTTTTCTTTTCCTTCCTTAATGCTTCCCTTGTTCTTTCTTGAGCTTCCGTTGGCGAATTTTACATGGTTGTTTATCGTTAGTAAGGGTCACTACAGGGGGATCTACTGTAGCTCCTCATTATACAGCGTTTTCAAATACGCTACGAAATCCCTTTAGTAGCATTTTCTGTGTGCTAGTAGTAAAGTCCATATTTCTTGTAGTGTGAAATACATGAAAGGGTGTGAATTGGAACGTTGCGTATGGCTTCATGTAAATAAGCTTTTTTCTCATGCGTTATTCTTTTGCAGACTCATATAAGATTTGTTGCTTTCTCATATAACTTTCTTTTATATTTTCAGAAAAGTTTCTTGTGTCCACGTAGAAAATGTATTAAGTGGCTTCATATTGTGGACAAGCATGTGGCAAACACGCTCAATTTTATCTGAAGTTCTGATCAAAAAGTTCAAAACTCAAAACTATTTCCTCTTGTCTTATAGAACTTGTGTGGAACGCATAGGATCTTAATCGGTATATAAAGTTTTACAGATGAGGTCACAAGACTTTTAGCGGTTAGAATTAACTCATTAGAGATGGTTCTATGTTGGAGAAAAAGAAAAAAAAAAGAAAAAAAAAAAGAAAAAAAAGAATAGTTGAACGCCTAGATGTGTACATATTCATATATCATCCCTAGCGACTTATTAAGAGTAATAAGAAACACTCAACATCTCGTCAAGCAACTTCCAAAAGACATTAGAGTTTGCCCTCTTGAACTAATCATTTGTTTTGATTTCTCAAGAAGTTTTTTAAATACTTACACTAAATTTGTTGTTTTGATTTCTCATGAATTTTTTTTCCATATGAGGTATTAGGTATACATATAAGGTATGCCGATGCTCTTAGATTTAGCGTAGTTAAAAATTGATTTATAACAATGTATTTTTCTCTTCATTATATTAGAAAATTGCTTTCAAATAATCTCTCTTTTTAATGAGGCTTGGAATAATACTTATGAAACTAGATTTTAACCCGCGGTACACCGCAGGATGATTTATTTTTAAAGTTTGTATAAGAATATTTTGTAAATTGTATCTCCTTATAAAATATTTATTTATATTATAGTTTACAATTGTTATTAAGTAACGGTATACCACGAGCCCACGAGACAATTGTTAATAAACTGAGGATTTAACCCGTATTAAAGCGGCATAATAATGATATTTATAAATATTGATTCAAATTTGTCCGCCATATAAACCCGTTCCAAGATATAACTCGTTCCGTAATTTCTTAACCCGTCCCGTGATTTATTTTTATTTTAAAATTTAATGATTATTTATTATATATAAAAGCTTACAAATCATATCATTCTCTAAGACATTTATATTTTAATAAACTAAAGATTTATTCTGTATTAAAGCGGCATGTTAATGATATTTTAAATTTCATAAATATTGATTCATACTCGTCCACCATATAACTTAGTTCCGAAATATAACCAGTCTTGTAACTTCTTAACTCGTTCCGTGATTTGTTTTCTAAAAGTAGTAATTTTTAAAATTTAACGATTATTTTTTATATATAAAAGTTTGCAAATTTTATAATTTTTAAGATATTTATATTTTATAGTTTACAATTGTTATTAAGTAACATTATACCACGGGACAATTTTTGGTTTTATACAATCTTTTCTAAATGAGACTGATTTAATATGTCTAATATTGGTGGTATTAAAAAAAAATTAAGGATTTAATCCGTATTGAAGAGGCGGATTGATGTTATTTTAATCTTTTTATTATTGTTGATTCAAAAACCCGTTCCGCCAAACCCGTCTTGCTAAAAAACTCATTTATTTTATTAGTGTTGATCTTATTTATGATATGATTCTGAATCATTGTCTAAATATTTTAATCGATGTAGAACGTTAAACACACATTTTTGTCAATTGGATAATATATGTCCGTTTTTAAAATTTTGAATCACAGTATATGCAAAAAAACAATTGTCTAAATATTGATTTTTTTTTACTTATGTATTATATGATGATTCAAAACAGTTAAAAACAAATCAAACAAAGATGATAGGAAAATCATAATTCTAAATCTTAATCAAATCTTCTAAATATCTAAATTATTAAATATAGAATATCCGGTGTATGAGTTGGGTTTTATTTAACCCGATCCAAGTAGTTTTTTGTGAAGGAATTTAAAAAACGGTTCGGATATCCGATTAACCCAGAAGCATTTTTACCCACCCGTCACCAAAGTGTTGCAAAAATACTAGTATAGATATATACTTTTACTTTTACTTTCAAAAGAATTAAAGGTTTTCTTTTGAAATTGTGTTTATATTTATGTGTAAGAGATTTGACACATTTTTATTGCAAACTCATGGAAACTTGTGGCATATTTACTTAGTTTTATCTTTTGTAGCTTTCTTATAAATGGTAACGAATCAATAATTAAATGATATGAAATATATTATACTAAAATGAAACCCATTGAAAAAATCATATATATGAAAGGAGGCTATCTCTCTCCATCCTTCCGCCACGTCAGCATTTTTGGCTCTTCTGGAGATGACACATCAGCTTTTTATTCGTCCAATCAAAACATTTCATTAATACACATCAGCTTCTAATTATAAGTGTCAAATGGAAAAACAAAATAGCCCATGAAAGATGGACCATATGTGTTCTAGAATCTATTAGAGTGCAATATTTATAAGTCGAGCCCATTTCAGTAATGGCTTAATGCTTCTAAACCCAACAAATATTCTAATTCCGCACAAGACTTTAACAAAATAAATCTCTCCCACTCTTTGCTCGATCGTTCAATATGAAAGAAGAAGGATCTCAAAGCAAATTTCTCGACTTCGTAAATTCCATCCTTCATAGTCTCCCTTTCTGTACATCATATTTCTTTAGAAAATACGTTTTCTACCTTCTAACTGCCAGTATGGAGGTCACGGTAGAAGTTACAAGAAAACATATTCACACTCTCAGCTTATGGGATTACAAACTTTCACTACTATAAACTCTATAAATACTCAAACAGACATTGTTTATACCGGATTATATGTGTTTCAGACAGCATCAGTAAATGTTTACCAATGGTGTAAGGAACATAAAAACGATATAGAACCACCATCATGTACAACCTATATGGGAATTACAAAATGAAAACATCAGATACAACTCAAGTTGACAATATCGATATACACAACATTGAATAGCTACTCACCTTAATTATCACTGAGGTGGTGGTATTTGGAACAACTGTCAAAACACAAATACTTTGTAGCGTCCTTTTCAGTATCGTTTCATACTCCCTTTCAACTTTTTCTATCAATATTCAAAGCAAAAGTAATTCAGATCTAAAAACCAAGAATCACCTATACGACATACTCAAGCAACAAAACAAGCCTCCTTTTGAACAACTAAACGCATTTACGATTACCAATCTATCCGGTTTAAGGCTTCCATATGACTTCAAAACAAGCTTTCTCAGCATTCTCGTTCTTCTTCGTTCCTGCTTTAGGTCCGTATTCTGCAGCTAAAACTTTTGTATCCCTGAAAATATAAACGAGAGAGTTCAATGAATCCCATTCAAAAATGATAAAAAAAAAACTTTGTACCCATAATAGATATTGAGAAAGCTGATAAAGTACCTTCTGACCAACTAGCAGAGCCACGAGAACGATGAAGGATATTACGGGAACAAGCAAGAGGTCTCAGCTGACAAGTAGGTCTTTTTCCCGGGTTATATTTCAAGTCAAAAAATAGATCTAATCTTAAAAATTGTAACTACATAAGAAAGATTTAGTTTTATTAACTACATAATAACAAATAAAAAATAAACATAAATTAGCAAGAACAATTAATAATTTTTTCTTCACAATTTTCAAAACAAACCCACGCGTAGCGTGGGTATTCATCTAGTTTAAGTAAATTTAAAACCAAATTACAAAATAACTCATTTGATGTAATGATTTTTAATTCCCATAGTTCTTTGCGTATATATATACACATATAACATGTTCCCACACTTCACAACTTTTGATAAAAACCAAACGAGAGAGAGAGAGAAAGAGAATCGATCATCAATGTCGTCGGACGAAGACACGATTACAAGAATCTCTATCGAACCGGAGAAGCAATCACTTCTCGATCATCACACCGAGAAACACTTCACCGCCGGAGAAATCGTCCGTGACATCATTATCGGCGTCTCCGATTGTTTAACTGTTCCTTTTGCCCTCGCCGCCGGTCTCTCCGGTGCCAATGCTTCTTATCTTCTATCGTCCTTACCGCTGGAATCGCCGAAGTCGCTGCCGGTGCTATCTCCATGGGACTTGGCGGTTACTTCTTTTTTTTTATAATATTAATTTAGTTTTAATTGACACGTAAACTCTCTATAACATTAATTTTGAAATTATGACTAAAAATTTAAGTTTATTAATCATATAAAACTAATCCTACATGCAAATGATGATTCATTTCCTACTTGTGGTATAATTACTACAAACATTAATTACGTATGATAAATTGTGGTATAAAAGTTGTTAAAATACTAATTTGTTTTAATTTACACCTAACTCTTTATGAAATTAGTCCCGGCCACATCATTTTGTTGTGTTTAAATTAGTCCTAGATTAGTTTACCCAAAAATAAAACAAAAATAGTCCTAGATCATGCAATGATCATATACATGCATGTATCCATATGTAATCAGTTTTTTTTTTTGCTACAATATATGTAATCAATTTTCATATTTAGTCTTAGTAATAATCATAAGGTAAGAAAAATAGTGCATGATTTAACTATGAGTTTATTGCAAGATTAAAAATTTGAAAACAAATTTAGGTATTTAGCGGCAAAGAGTGAAGAGGATCATTACGCTAGGGAGATGAAACGAGAACAAGAAGAGATCGTGGCCGTTCCTGAAACTGGTAAGACCAAAATTACACTCAATCTAAGCCATCCATAAGAAAATTAACACAGTTTAATTAAGATATGGATTTAAACAGAGGCAGCTGAAGTGGCAGAGATTCTGGCACAGTATGGGATAGAGCCACATCAATATTCACCTGTGGTTAATGCTCGAATCCTCAAGCTTGGCTTGATTTTATGATGAGGTTAGTCTCACTAATTTCATTAGTATTATTTTATGTATATTACATAGTCATAATTAAGGAGAAAATCGAGGGATACTTTTAGTTTTCTGCAAAAGCTGAGCTTTATACTTTCCAGGTGTGGACAAGATTCTATAATAAGGTCTGACTTCCAATTTTAATCTTTTTTCCAACAAATAAATTACGTGAATATTAACAAACAGAAAACAACAAATTACGTGGATATAAAAATTATCGAGTGATTTTGTTAAATTTAACACTCTTTAGCTATCACATAATGTTCATATTCCTACTATAAGCATGTAACTTGTTATATAGGTGAGACTTTAATTTTTCGTTAAATTGATTGTTTCATACAGGTTTGAGCTGGGATTAGAGAAGCCTGATCCAAAAAAAGCGTTACAAAGCGCGTTCACGATTGCAATCGCTTATGTTCTTGGCGGTTTTATACCGTTACTTCCCTACATGTTGATACCGCATGCCATAGATGCGGTAGTGGCGTTTGTGGTTATAACTCTGTTCGCTCTCTTCATATTTGGCTATGCAAAAGGGCATTTCACCGGCAGCAAGCCCCTTAGAAGTGCGTCTGAAACCGCCTTTGTGACGCCCGATTTCTACTTCAATAAAAAGGCATGTCACGAGCTAACTTGTAACTCAAGTAATTCATACTTAACCGAAAATAACCAACATTCTCCATTAATTCAAATTAAAGGTCCTTCAATCCATAAAATGAAATAATGTTCCAGATGATCCAATAAAATAAAATAATAAACGCAAACTCCGAAAACCAACACCAATTGACAACTCCGGCCACTACTCCGCATCATTACCTGCAAGAGAAAGAGAGGGATGAGCAATCTAAGATTACTCAGCGAAGGCAAGCCTAGCTTAGGACTCACGAATTCTCCATATATAAATATATCTAGAATCACAAAGTCTAAACCTAAGACAAGCAAGCAATCTCCTGTAGGACTCTCCATGGCACACTAACTCCTCACGTAAACAATTATTTTTATCACACAAACATGCATTTCACGAAATCACGCAATCCGCATTAAAATATTCATTTTTAATTTTCATCTCTAATATACTAGTCTATTTTTCTTTAAACTATAAATAATATAATATTTATATACTTATAAAATATTAATACACACAATCACACAAATACGGTTACTCATATATGTAACTCGCAGGTATACTCGGCTTAACCCTAGACTAAGTAATCAACTAGACATATTCATATACGAAAGAAAACACAATCTCGTCCTCACCTTAGCAAATTTGGTTGGATTACTCGGTTTAAGGCTTGCAACAACAGGAATCCGACTCAACAACGATCTCAATCTGCAATGATTTAACTTAACCGATCAAAGATTATATTCCAATAATAATCTTTGATTTAATCTAATACCAAAACTTTCCTTAATTGTTTAGGTATTTTTCCAATTAAATTAAATAGACTTAGTTTAATAATTAAATCAAACCAAAATCTAATTATTTAATTATAATAATACACCGTACCAAGATGCGTATTAATACACCGTACCTACACCACAATTTAATTCGTGACCATGATAGGATTACCAATTTAACATCTGGTTAAGAGGTTAAACCAATTAAATCTAATAATCCAAAATCACCACCCCGCTACCACTTATCGTCACCACATTCACGTACTCATGATTTTGATTTAGTACATATCCTACAATTAATTAGGATTAAATATCTAGAGACCAAACCAAGCCAATTTAATAACATCACTATTCTAACTCCATGATCACATAATTAACTCCGGTTCCCTAAACAATAGACCAACTTCATCTTCACGTAATTGAGTGCAGTCCACTACACAACCCCAAATCAATAATCGAACAAATCAACTAACGTGTTCCCACTTATTAGCTTTTGGTTTAAGGACTCGTAGGATCTCTTGGTTTAGTTGGTTTAAGGTCTGGATCAATAATCTAAACAAACAACAAGAGCAACAAGAGTTGCAGACGGTGGTTACCTCTCTCGGCGATCTTCCTCGATGGTTTAACTTGGCGGACTGAGCGGCGTAGTGGAGAATTAGGTAGCACAGATCTATGATAGTTCAGACCCCAAGTATTAGATTGATTCAACAATCCATAACAAAGACAATGATTGAAACCAAGGTTTGGTCACGGGTTACCTTTCCGGTGAAGACGATTCACACGGCGGCGGCACGGGCTGAACAAGAGAAGAGTCTCCGGTGACTTGGGCGATGCTACAACGGTTCACAAACAAGGGTAGAGTTAGATCGAGTCACAACAACCCGAAAACAAAGTACACAAGTTAAGGCTGCGAGACTTGCGAAACGTGACGGCCAAGGGTTTGTGAAACTCTTTCTCGGGTATGTGCCTTTCTTTTATACACACGTCACACGTGGAAGGGTTAGGGTTTCTCTCGGATTTAATTCAGTAACGGGCTCAGTTTGGGCCTCACGGTTTAGTTCAAAATTTGGGTCGTTACAATTCTCCCCCACTACAATGGAATTCGTCCCCAAATTCGATCCGTTACCATGTTCCTCACTTTTGTCCTCAAAAAGATCTGGGTAGTCCGCCTTCATCTGTTTTTCCGATTCCCAAGTCTCTTCTCGAATTCCATCTCTTTTCTAACATACTTTGACTGAGTTTATGACCTTTCCTTGGTCCTCCGTTTCCTTACGGTCCAAAATTTCTACCGGTTTACTCAAGGCAGTCAAATTTCGGTTTAAATCTGCAGGCGGATCCGGTAAGACCAATTCTGGTTCTTTGACAACTTTCCGCAAAACTGACACATGAAAAAACATCATGGAAGCTAGATAACTCTTGCGGTAATGCCAAACGATAAGCTACAGCCCCAACTCGCTCTGTAATGACATATGGTCCCATATACCTTGGCTTAAGCTTTTTCAACTATCTGTTTTTATGTGCTCCCCTGAATATCCTCATTTTCAGGTATACTGCATCACCGACAGCAAATTCCAAATCCTTCCGACGCTTATCTGCATAACTCTTTTGTCTGTCATGGGCTTCCTTTAGCCTATCTCGAAGCAATTCCACTTGCTCTACGGTCTCTTTGACCATCTTTGGCTCTAGGTCCTTACGTTCCCCTACTTCAGTCCAACAAAGAGGAGTACGACATGGCCTACCGTATAGAGCCTCATACGGTGGCATTCCTATGCTGGAGTGATAGCTGTTATTGTACGTAAATTCTACCAAAGGTAGGTACTTGAGCCAGTTCTCCTCCCAGTCGAGTACACAGGCCCTCAACATGTCCTCTAGCATCTGAATTGTTCTTTCAGACTGCCCGTCAGTCTGGGGATGATATGATGTGCTAAGGCGTACCTTTGTGCCCAAGGCCTTCTGAAAAGCTTGCCAGAAAATAGATGTAAATTTTGGATCCCGATCGGACACAATGCTTACTAGCACCCCATGCTTTGAAACAATCTTGTCTAGGTATAACTACGCTAAGACATCTGCACTGTCTGTTTTCTTGATGGTATTCTTACCACCAGTGGTTGTTGGAAGTCCGGTGACAAAATCCATTGTTATCCACTACAAGAAAAACGTTCATTGATAGCGCAAACCATCTGCTATCTTACGTTATAGATAGCGAAATCACAAATGCTATGAGATCGGCAGCTATGGTAGGTGTTTCTCCTACGATAGCATTATTTTGATATGCTATGATAGTTTTAGATACAATAGCTATATTAAACTGCTGTTATTTGTTTTGATATAGCAGCTTAAATTTTTGTTAAAAAGTAACGACAATTCAAATTTTGTGCTATAATAGGTTCTTCTACGTTAGCAATTAGTTCTTGCTGTCTTATTTGTTTTTGTAGCTTCATGTTTTGTGCTATAATATATGATTTTCTACAATGACAGTGAAGAATTGCTATACTTAATTTAATTATGGCTTTTAATTTTGCTATTATATATATTTTCAGAGAGCTATCTATTTTGATTCTATACCTGTTTTGCATAATATAAACATGAAAACATAAGTCTGAATATAAATTGTAACATAAGTCTGATTCCAATTCAAAAGTTAGAAAGTTATACAGAATCATTCAACATAACAAAAGTCTAAATCCAAAAGACATAACAAGTCTGATTTCAAAGTACATAACATAATTTGATTAGTCTAGTCTTAAACTGATTAAAACTACCTAATCTGGACCTAAGTGTCTTCATTCCCTGCAATGTCTGCAACTGCATCTTCATACTCTTTCTGACTGAATCTTCTCGAAGGACCTCTCATTGCAACATACCAACTACTTGAGTCATCTTCCCTTAGGTAAAACACCTGCTTTGCTTGAGAGGCCAGATGGTATGGATCCCTCAAAAAGGAGACTTGACTATGATTCAGATTTACAAGCGTAAAACCGTCTTCTTCCTTCACTCCATTGCCCTTTACTGCCCAGTTGCAGCGGAATAAAGGAACATAAAAGACATTATAGTCCAACAAGATAATGTCAGTTATGCAACCATAATATGATACCAAATCAACCACTTGTGAGGTATCCTTTGCACTAGACCTACAGACTGCAGTGGCCTCGTAGTAAACGCCATTATTCTGAGTTTTCTTATCAACTGATATTGTGTGAAATCGTTGCCCATTCACTATGTAACCAGAATATGACCTTGCGCAGCTACGTGGACCATATGCTAACCATTTCAGTGTTTCTCCATGTCTGTTTGAATCTAGATGTATCTATCAAAAGTAAACAGAAATGGTCAGGCACCTATATACATAAACTGAATTACATTAAGTGTTTATTTAAGAGATGACTAGCCTGTTCTTTAAGCCAAGAAGCAAAATTCTGAGTGTGCATACTCCATAACAGTGATGCATCACGTCTGCATCTTCCATTGGAGTCTTGTAGATGCTGTAGGTGCTCAATATTAAAATAAAAAGAGAAAAAAAATAATCAGACATTTATCCTAAGTATAATAACTGATTGAACTAGGAAAATGTGGAACTTACTCTACATAAGGCTCAACGACAGCCATATTCTGGATGACAGCCATATGAGCTATTTTTTTCTCCATTTCAGTAAGATTAAATGAGATGCCTCGTGAGATTGGACGCCCCTCAAGTATAGTGTTGTTTTCATACTCAGTGTTTCTATCTACACTTTCCTGAACATTTGTTGTCTTCTTCAAAAATTCACTACAAAACTGGATGCATTCTTCAGCTAGATAACACTCAGCAATACACCCCTCAGGTCTTGCAGTGTTCCTCACAAAATCCTTTAGAACTTTCATATACCTTTCAAATGGTTACATCCATCTGAAATGAACTGGTCCACCTAACCAAGCTTCTCTGCCTAAATGTACTGTCAAATGCACCATGATATCAAAAAAACTTGGCGGGAAGAATCTTTCAAACAAGCAAAGGGTTTCAACAATCTCAGCTTCCATTGCCAAAAGCTGCTCCATATCAATTACTCGCTGACACAAGTGATTGAAGAATGTACATAAGCGCACAATTGCTACCCTAGGACCTTTAGGTAACAACCCTCTAAGTGCAATCGGAAGAAGCTGTTGCATTAACACGTGATAATCGTGTGATTTCAGACCTGTGACCTTACAATCATCTAACGAGACGCCTCTTGATATATCTGAACAGTACCCATCTGGGCCTTTGAAGTCAAATAGTCGCTTACAGAAAATCTTCTTCTCTGTCTTGGACAGAGACCAAAGTGCTGCGGGAAGATATGTTCTTTTTACTTTGATTTTAGGATGCAAATCCTTTCTAATACCAAGCTCCTCCAGATCTTTGCGAGCATTCAGACCATCCTTGGATTTCCCACAATGCAACAATGTCGATACAATACTCGCAGCCACATTTCTTTCCACATGCATGACATCTAAGTTATGTCTAACCGGGAGTTCCTATAACCAAAATGCAAAAATCAACACAACTGTTACACAAAGTATACTTGTTTAAATCCAGGACAATATTAGAATGACATGAAAATAGGACACCCCTGCCAATAAGATAGCTTGAAAAAGATTGACCTTTTCTTCCATCTTGATAACTCCTCCTCATCTACTGTTACCTCTTCCTCTTCATACTCCTCTGACTCACTAGATAGATCATCACTATCAGAACCTGGTCTAGAATATTCAACACGTTTTCTCTTACTTGCATGTTGTTTCAAGTTCCCAAAGCTATTCTTAAAGTTTTTCAGGTTTTGATAAATCTCCTGACCACTTAATATTCTCTTCTTCCTCCCATGTTCAGCTTTTCCATCAAACCATGACTTCTTCCCTCTAAATCTATGTGTTGGTGGCAGACCCTTTCTATGGCGCATAAAGACATGTTTTCTGCTGAACTTCAACCACATGCTATCTGTATTTTTCCCACATAAAGGACAACCCATTTTACCCTTTACTTTGCAGCCAGCAAGATTCCCGTACGCGGGAAAATCACTAATTGTCCAAAGTAACATTGCCTTAAGAGTAAATGTTGACTTACTAAAAGCATCATACGTCAACTCCCCATTATCCCACAGATGGCATAGATCCTCTATAAGTGGTTCTAGGTAGACGTCAATACTATTACCAGGCTGTTGTGGACCAGGAATTAACAATGTCAGCATGATGTTCTCCTTCTTCATGCATAAATCTGGAGGCAAATTGTAGTTTACTAGAAAAACAGGCCAGCAACTATACTTGGTATTCTTCATGTTAAATGGATTAAATCCATCTGTGGAAAGTCCAAGCCTCAAGTTCCTTTCCTCGGCTGCAAATGAAGGGTATTTGGCATTCATCTGCTCCCATGTTACTGAATCTACAGGGTGACGAAGTTTTCCATCGCTGCTTTTGTTGCTAAAATGCCACCTTAAATCCTTAGCCATTTCCTCAGACCTAAACATTCTCTTAAGGCGTGGGATTATCGGAAAGTACCGTAATACTTTCTGTGGGACACCTTTCTTTACTTCACCGGTGTGCAAGTTAGTCTTCCATCTTGAAGCATTGCATTTAGGACAGTTCTCAAGCTTTTTGTACTTTTTTCTGAATAGGCAGCAGTCATTAATGCAAGCATGAATCTTTTGATAACCCATATCAAAAGATTTCAAAAACTTCTTCACCTCATACAATGATGTGTGTAGCACACACCCCTCTGGTAACATCTCCGGCAATGTCTCTAGAAGATCATTGAAGCTCTTGTCAGACCATCCATTTTGTGTCTTAAGTCTAAACAAAGACACAATAGCCGACAGCTTGCTATGATTCACACAACTTGGATATAAAGGAGTTTCAGCATCTGCAAGCTTTGCAAGGAACTCATCTTCTTTCTTGTCATCGCCCTCTGCAATCTCAGCCAAGTCAAGCTTTTCTGCAAACTCTTCATCCAAATACTCAGCAGCTTGATATAACTCAAATACCTCGTCATTCCATTGACTTAGTTTGCTTTCACTTTCAGCCACTGAATTTAATTCTCCATGATGATACCAGTCACACCGCATCTTATAAGCTTCATCCATTCCCCTTGTTACAAGATGATCAACAACTACGCTGCCTGAGTGACGATCTATATTACGACAATCAATGCAAGGACATACTATCATATCAACATCTCCCAAAGCTGCAGCCACAGCCCGTACAAACTTTGTAGCCCCTCTCTCATAAGCAGGATCAGCTCTTCATTCCGAAAAAAAAGAAGAAGTAAAGTCTCTGAAATCCCTACTGAAACCTAACCTATATAATTAAAGTCCTTACCTGCCAAGATGCACCCAATCCTTGTCCAACATTATATGTTGATACCGTAATATAAACCTTTAATACAATAAGCAATTAACTCAATATACATTCAGACCAATAAACAAATAACTCATACTTATATAATATTCAATCAAAGCAATCTCATTATTTCAATATCAGATTATATAACTACACTAACTCAGTTATAGTAACATATTTGAGACAAATTAAACTTAAAACAAAAAACATAGTAATCAATCAAACCATATAAAAGACATAACTAGAAACATGGTACTAACCTGTCCTCGTATATAGTAACATAACCAACAAGACATCAACAGTAATGTACTAGATTAAGTGTTTTAAATCTCAATAATTCAATAGCAGAGAAGATAAGTACAGTAACTCAACTTTAGTAGCATATTTAAAACAAATAAAACTCAAAATAAGAAACACTGTAATCAATCAAACTCATATACTAGAAACAAGAAATACGGTACTAACCTGTCCTCATATATAGTAGCATACACAACAAGACATTCACAGTAATGTACTATAATCAAGAAAACATGGTAAACAATCAAACTCATGTAAGAGAAGATGGTACTAACCTGTATTGTGATGATAAGAGCAAATGATAAGCTTCAAAGTCCCATTATTTCACTCAGCAACACTTGCAAAACAAAATTATAGAATGAGTATAAAGTTATGCAAGAAAGTGAATCACTGAAAGTTTGACTAAACAAAATAACTTATTAACAACAACATTCAGACAACAAACAAGCTAGAAAACAAAAAAAAAAGCTGAACTTTAAACCTGATAAATTAGCCAATCAAACAAAAGAGATAAACACAATCTCAGTAAGAAACAAAACTGGAAAAAGGACAAATACTAGAGTAAGAAGATGGGACCAAACACAGAAAATAGTATGAGTTTTAGTGAACATGCAATTTAATCCTGCAACTCACTGATAAGTTCTTGTTTCTTTTTCAAAGTACTAAAAAATCAGACACAAGTTATGAAGTCAGCAGAAACACAAGTGAACATGCAAGTAATGATGTCTGGTTTTGTTTAGGGTAAACACAAGTAAGGTATTGAATTAACAATCAAGAGAATATATATGACAATATCAAAACATATTTTCAGAGCAAGTAATTAAAAACTCAATTTCTATTAGACAATAACGAAAGAAAGATCCAAATTACATAGCACAGATCCAAGTTTTTAAAGAAATTTTGTTCAAATACGTCTAAATCAAACCACAAAACCAATAATGTTATGAAATTGTTCTGAAATCGCAAATAACAGAGGCATGCAAAACAAGAATCGATTAGACTGACCTAGATTTGAGCTACCTAGAACATCAGACTTGAGCTAGATTTGAGCTACCTAGAACATCAGACTTGAGCTAGATTTGAAAGAAAGAGACCTAGAACAGATCCGAAAAAGAAGAAAAAATCAATTGAATAAAGGACATGCCTTCGATTTGAGCTCAAATCCGACAGATATAAGGTGGAATCAGTGCCGGCGTCAGGTACAGTTTCACGGCGACCTTCAACGGCGGCGACAGAGGGCTTAATCGGCGATTGGGAGAGTCAATTCGTCGGTCAAAGAGAGTTCTGTCTGATAGAGTTCTGTCTTAGGGTTTTCGAGAAAGAGGGAAAACGCGTCTTTTGTGCTTAAGTGTTTTTTGGGAATTTTTACTAAGTGTTTGGCGGAATTAGGGAATTTGGGTTCCCGCTCATTGAAATTCTATCTTAGCGTTTATGAAATGCTGTCATATAACAACCATAATTACATAACATCTTCAATAGCAGTTTGGTAAACCGTGCTATTACGGTATGCTATCAATGAGGACTTTTTTTGTAGTGATCATATCCCATTTCCACTCTGGTAAGGGTAAATTCTGGAGTAAACCACCTGGAACTTTATGCTCTGTTTTCACTTGCTGACAAGTCTGACACTTTGATACCCAAGCAGCCACGTCATATTTCATATTGGTCCAATTGTAATACCGCTTTAGGTCATGATACATCTTAGTCGTTCCAGGGTGAACCGAGAACCGCGAACTGTGAGCTTGTGCCAAGATCTCATCCCTCAGACCCTTATCATCTGGCACCCTAACTCGGTTTTTATACATGAACATACCATTCTCCGCAGTGTGGAATCCTTCAACATTGTTTTCCATCGCCTTTTTCAGATCAACATCAGATTTTTGTGCATCTCGTATTCTCCACAGTAAGTCTGCCTGATTCACAGCTTCTAATCTAACAACGTCTTCTCCAGCAGAGGTCGCGCAAATATTAAGAGCACACAATGTAGCTTCCAGCTCTCGTATTTCTTTTTCACTCGAGACATCACTCCTACGCCTGCTCAAGGCGTCAGCAACCAAATTAGCCTTTCCTGGATGGTAGGCAATGTCCAAGTCATAATCAGCTAACAACTCTATCCACCTCCTCTGCCTGAGATTAAGGTCCGATTGAGTGAAGATATACTTCAGACTTTTATGGTCCGTAAACACCTGAACCTTCTCCCCATATAGGTATGCTCGCCAAATCTTTAGAGCGAATGCTACCGCTGCTAACTCCAAATCATGAGTAGGGTAGTTAACCTCGTGTGGTCTTAGCTGCCTCGACGCATAAGCGATGACCTTCTCATCTTACATCAACACACGCCCTAATCCAGTTCCCGATGCGTCCGTATACACCACATATGGTACCCCTGTCTTTGGTAGTACTAATATTGGTGTTTCTTTCGGATGTCTCTTCAACTTTTGGAAACTGTTCTCACACTCTTCTGTCCATTCAAACTTCACATCTTTTCCTGTGATTCGAGTAATCGGCTTAGCTATGCTAGCAAATCCTTCTACGAACTTCCGGTAGTAACCTGCCAATCCCAGAAAACTACGGACCTCAGTAGCGCTCTTAGGTGTTGGCCAACTGGTTATCGAGGCTATCTTCTCTGGATCCACCGATACTCCATCTTCTGAAACAACATGCCCAAGAAACCCAATTTTTCTCTGCCAAAAGCTGCACTTACTTAGCTTCCCATATAACTGTTGCTCCCGCAATTTATCCAACACAACTCGAAGGTGCTCCTCGTGTTCCTCACGACTTTTTGAGTAGATCAAGATATCATCGATGAATACTATAACACACTTATCCAAGTATTCTCCAAAAATATTATTCATCAACTTCATAAACGCAGCTGGTGCATTAGTTAACCCAAACAACATTACTACAAACTCGTAGTGTCCATACCTAGTCCGAAAAGCCGTCTTTCGAATATCATCCTCAGCAATCGAAATCTGATGGTATCCTAATGCCAAGTCAATCTTTGAGAACCACGATGCTCCCTGCAGCTGGTCTAACAACTCATCAATTCGTGGCAGCGGATACTTATTCTTAATGGTCACCTTGTTCAGTCCTCTGTAATCGATGCAAACTCTAAAGGGGGCATATCATCATCCTTCTGAGCAGCATGAACCCTCCGCAAAGTGGCTTCTGCAGCAAATTGAGCTGCCATGGAAGCCCTTTTCTCTTCTTTAATTTTCTTGATTTCAAGGTTCTGTTACAACATTCGAAATCATCAAATATAGAATCCATAAAGAAAAGAAATTGAAAAATAAAAGGTAACTGAGGGAAACATTGCAAATTACAACATTTTCTTGATGTAGCTTCCAGCTCTCGTATTTCTTTTTCACTCGAGACATCACTCCTACGCCTGCTCAAGGCGTCAGCAACCAAATTAGCCTTTCCTGGATGGTAGGCAATGTCCAAGTCATAATCAGCTAACAACTCTATCCACCTCCTCTGCCTGAGATTAAGGTCCGATTGAGTGAAGATATACTTCAGACTTTTATGGTCCGTAAACACCTGAACCTTCTCCCCATATAGGTATGCTCGCCAAATCTTTAGAGCGAATGCTACCGCTGCTAACTCCAAATCATGAGTAGGGTAGTTAACCTCGTGTGGTCTTAGCTGCCTCGACGCATAAGCGATGACCTTCTCATCTTACATCAACACACGCCCTAATCCAGTTCCCGATGCGTCCGTATACACCACATATGGTACCCCTGTCTTTGGTAGTACTAATATTGGTGTTTCTTTCGGATGTCTCTTCAACTTTTGGAAACTGTTCTCACACTCTTCTGTCCATTCAAACTTCACATCTTTTCCTGTGATTCGAGTAATCGGCTTAGCTATGCTAGCAAATCCTTCTACGAACTTCCGGTAGTAACCTGCCAATCCCAGAAAACTACGGACCTCAGTAGCGCTCTTAGGTGTTGGCCAACTGGTTATCGAGGCTATCTTCTCTGGATCCACCGATACTCCATCTTCTGAAACAACATGCCCAAGAAACCCAATTTTTCTCTGCCAAAAGCTGCACTTACTTAGCTTCCCATATAACTGTTGCTCCCGCAATTTATCCAACACAACTCGAAGGTGCTCCTCGTGTTCCTCACGACTTTTTGAGTAGATCAAGATATCATCGATGAATACTATAACACACTTATCCAAGTATTCTCCAAAAATATTATTCATCAACTTCATAAACGCAGCTGGTGCATTAGTTAACCCAAACAACATTACTACAAACTCGTAGTGTCCATACCTAGTCCGAAAAGCCGTCTTTCGAATATCATCCTCAGCAATCGAAATCTGATGGTATCCTAATGCCAAGTCAATCTTTGAGAACCACGATGCTCCCTGCAGCTGGTCTAACAACTCATCAATTCGTGGCAGCGGATACTTATTCTAAATGGTCACCTTGTTCAGTCCTCTGTAATCGATGCAAACTCTAAAGGGGGCATATCATCATCCTTCTGAGCAGCATGAACCCTCCGCAAAGTGGCTTCTGCAGCAAATTGAGCTGCCATGGAAGCCCTTTTCTCTTCTTTAATTTTCTTGATTTCAAGGTTCTGTTACAACATTCGAAATCATCAAATATAGAATCCATAAAGAAAAGAAATTGAAAAATAAAAGGTAACTGAGGGAAACATTGCAAATATTCTTTACTGTCAAGAAGGTTTTCACTTAGTTTGAGCTTCTCCGACATCTTTCCCAACTCTTCGGTAAGCTTAAGCAATCAAATTAAAGAGTAGAGGGTCAGCATATAGAAAGATGGAAAATTGGATTATTTTTGCAGGCACAAATTCAAAATCTAGCAATAAACAATAGCGAGAGCCAAATCACATAACAAATCTTCTAAAAACAGGGATTGAAGAATATGTATATGCTTCATAGAGCATTAATGATCAAAGGACAAACAAGAGTGAAACAAGGTTTACAAAGGAACGGTAACAGAAGTACTAGTACAATCACATATCCGAAAACTAATCAAGAACTAGAAAACCAACCCACAAGCCCAAGAGTTCTTCAGTTCAACCACCTATACTGCATAATAAAGAATTCCAATGCAACTTGAGCAGAAACTAATAGCCGAATGTAAAAGCTTTTAAGAATCTAGAAATTCAAATTGTGTTTCACAAACTCAACCTCTTCCTAATCATTATACGATCAAAACAGAAAAAAACCTATATGTCAAGCTATATTATCCATATGCATCAAGTCTAATACAAACAACCTCACAGGAAATGGTGAAACCTATAAGGGAAATGACAGATTAACGGCAGATATTACAAAATCAAAGCTAGTGAATGCGATGCTACATTGTATGAATAGTTTCACCTTCCCAATCCATATATAATCAACAAAAATATCAATGATTAACAAGACTTGTTCATCGAATTACCTCTCAAGTTAAAAAGAAGAAGAAGTAGATACACTGCAATTCAGACAATGTGCTTTTTAATCTCAATGTTATGCATGTTCCACATGCCATGTATAACAATCTCTCTTTATGAAAAATAAAACTCTTCAATCTTCCAATATTTCTTCAGCAACTAGTTCGTGCCAATTATGTATTGAGTTCTTCACTAGTCACTACAGCTCCATGTCGTCAACTGCATTGTTCTGTTGTAGCATAACGAGTTGATGATGTTTCTTCTCAAACTGAAGTTTAAATAACGAGTTATTTTCATTCAATGTTTGGAGCATAAAAATTGGAGAAAAATGTACGGATTGGATTTACATGAACATATATTGATGCAGATAATTTGTTTAAGCCAAAAAGTCTTAATCTTAAAATTCGGTCTATGGCTATGGTTGGTAACTTTTGACCATAATAATGGATAATCTCCTGCAACACAAGCTGACTTTCTGTGCAAGCTAGCGCTAGCGAATGCTGAGGTTGCATTTCTTGGATCTCAAGCTATCTCCATAACACCTGTTACAGAGAAACACAGAGGGCACAACTTCATCATCTTCGATGGAATTGCAGAGTGTGTGGTGCCAAACCTTGCAAGAATCACAAGCTACCATTCTCTCACCATCATCATCTCTAGCTCCGCATTTACAGTCAACGGTCCAATCATCAAAACCACCTTCATACCTTAACTCTGTGCCTATGTCCAGACCAAACCCTTTCACCAGAAACTCTGTATTCCCTTGTGATTTTAGACCCAAGTTGTCGTCTAGCTTCTCCAGAAACCTGTTTCTTATCTCCAACACCTCAAATGTTTCCGTTATGAATTAAGTGTCCCTCAGAGCTTTCTCTGCTGCAGATTTCAGTTCTCTGATGGTTGCGTTTTCAGGAACAACCACGAGTTCACCAGGCGGTAATAACCGGGTGACGTCCCTGAGCAGTTCTTCGTGACTGGGCAGAACTTGGCAGCTAACTGTTAATGGGTTTGGTTCCTGGTAAGACCATTCTTTTATAAAGCTCTTGCAGTTCAAGATAACCTGAGACGCTTCGCTGTATATGTCTGAATCAGGATACGTTAACAAGAGATTCTTATACAGATAGAGAATGTCATCGTACGGACTCAGTCCGGGAGTGGTGGATGTCCATTCATTGATTTCCTGCGGTTTCAGTTTCCTTTTCTTTTTCCGTTCTTGCTCTTGAACACAGGAATTGATTGTCCGCAGGGAGAACTGTAACATCCGGCTTTTCTGGCTTGTGAACCTCTGCACTATCTGGTCACCTATTAGAACTTTGTCAATGTGTTTGAGCAAGAAATCAATCAATCCTGTATCACCAATGCTAATTCTAACAGCCTCCCGAAGCTCTTGACGAGTTATGGTACTTTTTTGCTCTTTAAACACTTTGAGAACCGCTTGGGCTGCCTCATTCAACCTCCTTCCAGGCCATCTAGAATGTTCTCTCCTGCCCAAATCGTCAAATGAGTAATACTGAGGGGTTTTTATGCCCGCCACTGTAGTATTATGATCATCAAGGACAGTGTCTCTGCCAGATTCATATCCATTATCATCTGATTCCTGATGAGGGGATGTGCAGACCTCAGTGTTCTCATCAGCTCTAAGAATAGGATATGAACCAGAATCTAAAGACATTGCTACTAGTGCCATTGCAGTCTTTGTCTGAATGGGAGCTTTTGATCTGAAACCAAGCATGAACCGAAGCAAATCAGAGAGAGTGGCCAATGGGGTTTCACTGGATCCTCTGTAGAAATCGATGATCGTCTTCATAACTCTCCCTTTACTTGTTCCAGAAAAGTCTTCAATAATATTGTCAACTTCTATAGAGCTAAGAGTGAGAATAGCTCGCCAATACTGATCTTTTCTGACCCCAAAGCTTCCATGAGAAAACATATAATCCCATTTCCCAAACCATGGTCGACCATATGCAACACCGTGGAGAAGCCTCAGATCCATCGCTCCCTTCTTCGATGTATCATCCAAAGAAATCTTCCTGCAGCCAAAGACATAATCATTGATTAACTTTACATCACATTATTCACTCTGGTTTATAATTGGTTTGCACATTTTTAAACATTTTCAAATCCATACAGATTTGCTTCATTTTAATATAGATTTCCATATGGATTTTGTATATGTAACTAGATTTTGTTGCAATCCATATTTTGTGTAAAAACACGAAATTTGGCTTCAATAAAGAAAATCTCAAGTTCAATCTTAGGGGGTGTTATTGGTTTGTGATTGAAATGGAGTTTTGATGACTTGAATAAAATCATAGAAAGTGAAAAAGTGAAAGATTTAGAAGAATTGTTAGAGAGTTTTCAATAGTCTTGTTGATTAGTTTTCTATAATCTTGTAAAGTCTCCCAAACAATCTCAATATTTCAATCATACTTTCCATGACTTTATTTTGTAAAGAAAAGTGTACAAAATCATAAACCAATAACACAATAATTAAAGTCATTAACAATCATAGATTGTTTTGTTTTAGTTGAATAACACAAAATTTTTAATGACTTTATAAAACTCTTAATCCAATAACATCATATTCATTAGGATTTTAAATGATTTTTTACAAGTCACAAACTAATAACACCAAATTTTAAGAGAGTTTAACAAAATCTTGATCGAATAACAATAGATTCTACATAACAATTAAAGTCATTAAAACTCTATTTAAGTCACAAACCAATAACACCCCCTTAGTTTACCCAAGAAACAAAAAAAAAATCAAAGGGTTATGTGATTCCATCTCAAAATCAGTATATTGACTAAGTCTCAATTTATTGTCGATGTGGGACATCAATGTCATAGTCACTCCTATAATTAGCAAAAATCTATTCATGCGTCCCAACTCATTGTCAGCTTCGATTCTAAACATCAACGCCACAATTTCTCTTATAGCTAGCATTCAAATAATTATACAAGTAGAACTTCTAACATTATCAATGCCACAATCTCGCGTATAATTAGCAAAAATCTATCCGTTCCATGCGGAATTTCTAAACATCAATGCTACAATCATCCTTATGATTAGCCAAAAATTTACCCGTCCGACGTCGAAATTCCTAACACGAATGTCACAAAAGTATTATAAACAAATCATTCCTAAGATTAGCAAAAAAGTATTATATGTCAATGCGGGAATATCTAACATGAATGTCACAATCTCTGGCCTATAATTAGTAAAAAGAAACAGCTTTTAAGTGTGATCGATGTAGAGATAAATTTGGTTAGTACCTAGTGTGGAGAAGAGTGCAAAGACGATCCCAAAAGTCCATGATTTGGTGACCAGAGAGGTAAGCAGGATATCAATATCAGTGTTGATACAAAGCAAATGACCAAAACCATTGCAATGAATCAAACCATGCATCAAATGTGAAGAAAGCTTCAAGCTTTGGCTCGTCAATGGCTCATTCCATTCATCAATCTTTGGTATTATCATATGATACTTCCTCTTCGATACATAGTGATGACCCCAACCTAAATACGTTAATGATCCCAAATCAAAAATCGAAAATTTCACAAAAACAAGATAAAAAAAAACCTAAGATTTAGTTACCAACGCATCGACAGAAATCGCAGAGAGGGTTTGGAGAAGAAACAGAGATTTCGTGTGGTTTTGTGAATTGACGATTTTTGCCCTTTTGGCGGCGATTTTGGTTGATTGTTTTGTTGTTATTGCAAGAGTTGGAGTTCCGGTTGAAGTGGTTTTGGTTCGGTTTAATTTGGTTTGAGATCACGTGACATTGGCTGATTTGTTGCGAACTCTCTTCTTTCGTGTGGTTTGTGGATTTGCGATTTTGTTCTTATGGCGGCGATCTTGTACTGTTTTATATTTTATTTATTTATCGTTTTGTGATTTTTTGATTCACTGGTTTGTTGTTAAAGGCAGAGTGGGAATTTCCGGTTTATGTGGTTTTGTTTCGGTTTAATTTGGGTCGCTGCAGTTGTTCTATTCATTTTCTAGCTATTTCAACTCTTTCGTCTCATTTGTTGTTCTCTAATCTGTATAGTGTGTACCTTACTCGTTTTTTTATAAATATTGAAACAAAATTCGAGAGTTTGGTGTTAATCAGGTTTTATTTAACTTGGATTTTTGAATTTATGTAAGTACATTACTAAAATATTGGTCAAAATTGGCAAAAATGACTTTTTAAATTTTATTTGAAAAAAATCGACTGTTCTAATTTGGTAAAAATGATGTATTCTCCGACCGAATGACTAGCGTTTTTAGTGTATATAAAGGAGATCCAAATCGATAAGGAAGAATTTTCTAATTTCTTTATATTATTAGTTTTCGTAATGCAAATATTAAAGCGGATAGTTTGGCACAAACAATTCGTACCAAACCGCATCACATTATTTATGTAAATAATATTCTACATGAATGACTCTTTTGAGTATTATTAATTCAAGCTGGTGACAAAAAAAAATTATTTGGACAAGCTATAAATGGCTGAAAACATGCACGTTATCTTAAAAAGTTAAAAACATGTAAACTAAAAACATGTAAACATGTAATACTATATTATGTGGTTTCGGATTCTGGGGGATTACGACCTTTGGTCCAGAACCTCCTAACATTAAAAAAAAAAAACATGTAAACATGTAAATAATTTTCAAATTATTAATTATTTATTTTTAAAAACCCCCTATGAGGTTCTACTATTGGAAGAAGAAAAACTTAAGAACTCCTAATGAAGTTCTTAACTTACCATGTTTATTTTACCGACTTATTTAAAATTATTTTTATATATATTCTAATGGTGTGGTAATTGGTTCGATTGTTTTGTTAAATTGCTTAATTATACCCAGATTCTTATAAAAGTTATGCATGTTATACAAAATATAGTTGTATGATATATGATCTCATAACACTTGGTCTTACCCTCGAGCGTTGTCACCCGCGTAAGGCAGACCGAGGGTTTGGTGCTTTGTGTTTTCTTTTTTTTTTTCTTTATCTCTATAAATATTTTAAACAAATACTGTTGTATTGTTTGATTTTAGTATAGTGATGGATGTCAATTCTGTAAATTTCATATATTCTAAAACGTTTCATATTATTTACATAAATTCTAAAACAGTCTAATCTATATATAATAGCAATCTAATAAATACCATTTGCACATCTGAACGGTTGCGTTTTTTTATCGCAACTTTTCATTAATATTTTTATTAATTAAAATATATATTTTACGGTTATGTTTTTTTTATAAATTGCATTCTGAATGTTTTCTACGGTTGCGTTTTTTATTGTAACTCTTCATAAACAGTTGAAACCGCTTATTCGAATCATTGCAATATTTAGTTTATTTTACGAACCATTGCAACCTTTGGTTTATATATTTATTTTATTTCATGAACAATTGCAATTTTTGGTTTATTTTATAAATAGGTATAACATTTAATTATCTACCGCCGCGTCTCTCGGTATAACTTTTCATAAATTATTATTTTAATTCTTAATTTTTAATTACTAAAATGTATTTAAATGAGATTGTAACTATTTAATTGAACTGTTTTAACATTTGGATTATTTGACGAATTATTGCAACTTTTGGTTTTGTGTTACGAACTATTGTTATCTTTAGTATATTTGATGAACTATTGCAACATTTGGTATAATTGACGAACCGTTGCAGTTTTTGGAATATTTGATATCTACGGTTGCGTTTCTCGGATGAGTTCGTTATATTTTTAAAAAATATTTAAATACTAAAATGTATTTAAATGAATTGTTGTTACCGTTTAATTTAACACAATAACATTTGGTTTATTGGACGTTGAACATTTTGGCTTATTTATCAAACCATTGTAATATTTGGTTTATTAGTTTATGCTTTTTGCACTTGGGAATAGTTTTTTAGTTACAAATTATTGTTTTTCTAATATTAATATCAAATTATATAAAGTATGGTTTTCAAAGTTAATAACTCACGAGATCGTGACACATGTCAAATTTTTTGATCTGAGATTTTGACATGTGTCAAATAAATTTTTCCTTTTAAAAAGAAAAAAAAGTAAAAAGATAATTATAGAAAAAAATTATAAATTTAAACAGTTTTAAAATGTAAAAAGCTAATTATAAGGAAATTGTACATATATTTCCATAAGAGTTTTTCCATCTAGCAAGCAAAATTTTTGTTTTTAGAAAGCTAATTATAAAGAAATTGTACATTTCCATAAGAGTTTTTCGAAGAAAAAGATTTAAAAATAGAAAAAAAATGGGAGACTCAAAAAAATGCCCCTTTTTCAATACCCCTTTTCAAAAATGCCCCCTTTGGCTGTCCATTTTTAAAAATACCCCTTTTTATGTACAAAATGACTAAATTACCCTTCTTTTAATAAAAGATATCACAAATATATAAGAAAATATAACAAAATTAGGTCCACAAAATACAAAATATTTTTTGGCGGGAAAAGTGATACCTTGTAAAAAACCTTAAAAATACCTTGTAAAATTTTCCTGTAAAATTTTTTTCCGCCAAAAAAATTTCCCGCCAAAAAATTTTTTTTGCGGGAAAAGTGATTCCGCAATTTTTTTGGCGTTAAAATTTTGGCGGGAAAATTTTTGGCGGGAAAAATTTACAAGGTATTTTAAAGGTTTTTTACAGGGTATTTATAAGGTTTTACAATGTATTTTAAAAGGTTTTACAACGTATTTATAAGGTATTTATAAGATATTATAAGATTTTACAAGCTATTTTATAAGGTTTTACAAGTTATAAGGTTTTACAAGTTTTTAATAAGGTTTTACAAGTTATAAATACCTTATAAAACCTTATAAGTACCTTGTAAAACCTTTTAAAATACATTGTAAAACCTTACAAAACACTTGTAAATACTCTGTAAAACCTTTAAAATACCTTGTAAATTTTTCCCGCCAAAAAGTTTCCCGCCAAAAAAATTGCGGAATCACTTTTCCCGAAAAAAAAAATTTTTGGCGGGAAAAATTTTTACGGGAAAATTTTACAAGGTATTTTAAAGGTTTTTACAAGTGTTTTGGCGGGAAAATTGCGGGATCACTTTTCCCGCCAAAAAATATTTTGTATTTTGTGGACCTAATTTTGTTTCAAATAAGGGTAAAATGGTCATTACAAATTAAAAGAGGGCAAACTTAAAAATGGACTCTCAAAGGGGGCATTTTTGAAAAGGGGTATTGAAAAAGGGGCATTTTTAACAATTTCTCAAAAAAAAATCAAAAAAATTATACAATCAATTATTAATCCTATAAGAAAAAGGATTTTAAATAGTCACATTTAGATAATTATAAAAAAAAAATTATTTTTAAACAGTTTTAAAATGTAAAAAGTTAATTATAAAGAAATTGTACATATATTTCCATAAGAGTTATTGCCATCTAGCAAACAAAATTTTTGTTTGTAGAAAGCTAATTATAAAGAAATTGTACATATATTTCCATAAGAGTTTTTCCAAGAAATATTTTTTAAAATAGAACAAAAAATTAAGAAAATTATACAATCAATTATTAATCCTATAAGAAAAAGGATTGTAAATAGTCACCTTTAAATAAACAAATAGATTGTCTCATATTTTCTCATCAAGCAAACTAATTTCTTAACGATGTTATATCATATCAATTATAAAAAAATATTTCGAATCACGATGTTTTTCTAAAAATATCATGTGATATTCAGATCTAATGAATATATGGCAATTGAGGCAAATTAATAATGATGAACGGCGATAGACATAGACTAGAGTTATTGTCGGAGAGCCTTGGTCCAATGTCGGAGGAGATAAAGAAGGTGGAGTAATAAGAGAAGTTGGGAAAAGAGGATAAGAGACGGTAAGTAATGTTGGTGTTGATGATGGTGGTTCAAGCTTGTTGGTGGTAGCGGCGGTAAATATTGATGAAGGTGGTGAGTCAGAATTAACGAGATTCGGTATTGTTGGTGGTGGTGATTGTGATAGTAGTGAGATTTAGTTGTGGTGGTGGGTCAGAGTAGTGAGCCCGGTGGTGATGCCCGACAAATGCGAGAAATGTAGATAGGGAAAAAAAAATAAAGATATGGTGGTGAAGAAATCCGACGGAGAGAGAGAAAGAGAAAGAAATAGGAGTTCGAACAAAAATAAGAGAAATCTAATGAGAGAAACATAGAGATTTGAAAATTAGAAAGAAGAAAAAACGAAGAAACTAATAATATGAGCCAAAAAAATGACAAAAGCCATGTAGCAAATAGATAATGTTTAGTCTGATGTTATTTTTTTTTTTAAATTTAGTCTTAAGTTATTTAGTGTATATTCTCTAATTCCTTATAAAGTTTTCTCTTTTTATTGAGGATATTTCATATTACCAAGTAAAGTTACATGACATGGATATAGACGGTCTCATATTTTCTCTTCTTTTATTGTCACAATTTTATTATGACGTCAAACTTTTCTAAACAAAATCATATATCTACGTATCTCATACTATATGTTTACATATTATACATATACCGTTCATATATTTACGTAACTATATAGTTTTATCTTTTTTTTATTGTCATAGTTTTATTTCCATCTTGCTCACATTGAAATTATAAGATGTGACACACTCTTCTGATGGATGTAAATAACTTATTAAAATTCAATAATACAACATATGAATATTTATGACTTCATAACTTATAACAAGCAAAGAATTATATAATTTTATAAATAGGCCAACATTTATATTAGATAATTTAATAATTAGTATAACATAACTACAAATAATGTTTTATATTGCGTATTATGCTAATAAATCTATATTTAGAAATAATTATGCTGCATTTTCTAAAATATATATGTTTATAGAATTTTAGTAATTAAGCTTACAAAAATAAAATAAAAATATTAAGAATGATAATCTTGACTCGCAACCCGTGCAAAGCACGTGTCCATATCTAGTACGTAATAAATGCTTGTGAGGGTTTTCTTTATCATAATTTTTGTAAAATATATATTGATTTGTTATTAAAAAAATTCAAAAGTATTACAATTCATTATGATTTTTTCGTTTGATATTTTTTTAAATGATTTTTGAAATATATTCCCCCGCGACATCGCGGGGGTCCTGAGTCCTAGTAATTAATAATAACCAATATATTATGTGACTATATTTTTTAAAAAATACTAATACTTAATTTAGTAAATTTAATCGAATTGTTAAAGTTATATAGTAAAATCTTTTCCCCGATCCTAGTGGTCTCTAAAGACTAAAGGTGAAGGAATGTCTTATGTTTCTTGGTTAAATCAAAATTTGCTACCCAAATCAAGGTCAAATTAAAAAAGTTTCCAAATCAAGTGTATCTTTTCAGCTAATTCGGTTTACATGGCTTTAATCTTTGTGTTAACAAGGAAAACAGAATTGCAAATGTCTTTCGAGTCGTGTAATATTTTTTTAAAAACTTTTGAACAACATAATTGGGTTCTAAAACGGGAAAAATGTTATTTAATACCTAAACTTTCAAAAAGTGGCCAAATTAACCGTGAACTCTTGAAATGGCCATTTTATACCTCAACAAAAAGTTGACTTCTAATTTAACCTATAAGTTTTCGTTGACCCGGCCTAATCGACTCACCGTTAATTCTCAGTAACTGCGCTTCTAACAGCGTTTATTGCGTCCGTTACAGAGATTTAACAGTGATTGGAAAAAAAGAAATCCCCAAACCAAACCAAAATCGAAAAAAAGAATCCCCAAATCGAAACCCTAATTCTAAATATGATTGAAGCAATGCGGGAAGGAGAAGCAGATCAAATTGGAGAAGAAGCTCGAGGTCAAGCGAATGTAGTATCAAACGTTGATGTGGCAGATGCAACCGAAGTTCGTTCTCCACTTAGGCGAAGTAAACGAAGGCAAATCAGATTGGAAGAAGAAGAGGATTTAGAGGCTGAAGTTCCTGCTCCTGATATTGACGATGACTGTGCAGTCCAAGGAGATGAAGACTGCGATGAGGTTGATGATGCAGTAGATAATGGAGAAGAGGAAGCTCAAGATGCAGTTGAAGATACAGCTGGTTTAGGTGTCGAAGAAGATGGTAATCTAGACATCGATAGAGATTTTCCAGAGGCTAATAGAGAAGAAGAAGAAGCTAGTGACAATGACAGCGGAGATGATATATGGGATGAAGACAAGATTCCAGACCCTTTGTCATCTGACGATGAAGATGATGATAGAGTAGAGGAAGCTCGAAATGATCTAGGCGATCCTGAAGTTTTACTAGCATTGGAGAAGACTTATAACTCGCCTGAAGATTTCAAGCTTGCTCTTTTGATGTATTCTCTAAAAACAAGGTATGACATTAAACTTTACAAATCTGAAGCTATGGTGGTTGCTGCTAAGTGTGTGTATGTTAGTGATGAGGGTGTTGAATGTCCGTGGAGAGTCCGTTGCTCTTATGAGAAGAGCAAACATAAGATGCAAATAAGAACTTATGTCAATGAGCATACTTGTGTGAGGTCCGGATATTCGAAGATGTTAAAGGTGTCATCCATTGGGTTTTTGTTTGAAGAAAGGTTGAGAGTGAATCCAAAGCTCACTAAACATGAGATGGTTGCTGAGATCATGAGAGAATATAAGTTGGAAGTGACTCCAGACCAATGTGCTAAGGCAAAGACAAAAGTTTTGAGAGCTAAACGTGCTAGTCATGATTCTCATTTTGCTAGAATCTGGGATTATCAAGCAGAGGTTTTGTTGCGGAATCCGGGGACAGAGTTCAACATAGAGACAGTTGCAGGACCAGTGATTGGAAGCAAGCAGAGATTTTATCGGTTATATATTTGTTTTCAAGCTCAAAGGGAGTCATGGAAACAAACTTGTAGACCCGTCATAGGGATAGATGGAGCTTTTCTGAAATGGGACATAAAAGGACATCTATTAGCCGCAGTTGGAAGAGATGGTGACAATCGGATTGTTCCTATTGCTTGGGCTGTAGTGGAGATAGAAAATGATGACAATTGGGACTGGTTTTTGAGACAGCTCGCTACAAGCTTGGGGCTTTCTGAAATGACTGATCTAGCAATCATTTCAGATAAACAATCGGTTAGTCTCTATTATTGTGTTTGAGATAGACTGATCTAGCAATCTTGAACTATTTGAGATAGACTAAACTTGTGTTTTTTTTGTTGTTTTGCAGGGTTTAGTAAAGGCTATCCATACCATTCTTCCGCAAGCTGAGCATCGACAATGTTCAAAACACATCATGGATAACTGGAAAAGAGACAGCCATGACATTGAGCTACAACGTCTATTTTGGAAGATAGCTCGCAGCTACACCGTAGAAGAGTTCAATAATTACATGGCAGACCTAAAGAGGTACAATATCCAAGCCTACACATCTCTGCAACTTACTAGTCCGGTTACTTGGTCTAGAGCCTTCTTTAGAACAGGCACATGTTGCAACGACAATCTCAACAACTTGAGTGAGTCTTTCAATCGGACCATCAGACAAGCTAGGCGGAAGCCAGTGTTGGATCTTCTAGAGGACATCAGAAGGCAATGCATGGTGAGAACAGCCAAAAGGTTTATCATTGCTGACAGGTGCAAAACAAAGTTCACACCGAGAGCTCATGCTGAGATTGAGAAGATGATTGCTGGAGTCCAAAATACACAGAGATACATGTCTAGGGATAATTTGCATGAGATATATGTCAATGGGGTTGGCTACTTTGTTGATATGGATTTAAAGACATGTGGCTGCAGGAAATGGCAGATGGTTGGGATCCCATGTGTTCATGCAACATGTGTGATAATAGGGAAAAGGGAGAAGGTTGAAAGCTATGTGAACGACTACTACACAAGAAATAGGTGGCGAGAAACCTATTTCCGTGGTATTAGGCCTGTCCAAGGGATGCCATTGTGGGGTAGATTGAATAGGTTGCCTGTCTTGCCACCACCATGGAGAAGAGGCAATGCCGGAAGGCCAAGTAATTATGCAAGAAGGAAAGGACGAAATGAAGTTGCCTCTTCTTCAAATCCGACCAAAATGTCAAGGGAAAAGAGGATCATGACATGCTCTAACTGCTTGCAAGAAGGGCACAACAAGCAATCATGCAAAAATGCTACTGTTTTAAGTCCACCACCGAGACCAAGAGGTCGACCAAGGATAAATCAGGTTTGTATATCTTTCATTTCTGTTTTAAGTCCATCAAAAACTGATTGTAATGTTTGTATTAGGAACCACAAGGGCATGTAGAAGGATCACAAGGACATGGCTCACAAGGGGTGGATAATGGCTCACAAGGGGTGGATAATGGCTCACAAGGGCAGAACAATGGGTCACAAACACAAACACAAAGGGGAAGAGGTCGTGGAACACAAAGACATTTGAGAACAGCTCGTGGAGCACAAAGACAAAGGGGAAGAGGTCGTGGAACATCACAAGTGTCTGAACAACCAGCAGCTGATCGAAGACATGGAACTGCACAACCACAACCACAAGTAGAAGCACAACCGCAAGGACTTGCTGGACTTGGATCATGGTTTGAATGTTCTCGTCAAACATGACATAAGCTTAGTCTCGTGTTCTTATTGTTGTTGGAACTTGTCTTTCTTTATGACATAAGCTTAGTCTCGGTTTCTTTTTGTTGTTTGAACTTGTCTTTATGACATAAGCTTAGTCTCGGTTTCTTTTTGTTGTTTGAACTTGTCTTTATAACATAAGCTTACTCTCGGTTTCTTTTTGTTGATTGAACTTGTCTTTATGACATAATCTTTCACCTTTTCTTTCAAATGAAATTCATTACCATTAGCAAAGCTCCATTTCATTACATAGTAAAAGCACAAGCAAACAGAAACTAAACAACAAAGACCAACAACAAGAGAAAACAATTTAGACATCAATTCGATTACACACTAATAACCAAGAACAAATTTCTGGTTTTTTGTCTTATAGAACATTGATATCACAATTGCAATGACACTAAAACAAAGGCACACCAAGCACACTTTCGTCATCTTTTTCCATCTCTGAATTTCTCTTTTGCTCCACATTCCATCTTCTTTCAACTCTATCATTAGCTCCTTTAAGTTTGCAATTTCAACTGCAACCTCAGCTTTTGCATTGATAATCTCGTTATCAATGCTGGAGATTTTGGGTAGAGCATCTACAACCTCTTCATACATACACTCCTCCACCCATTTGAACAAATGATCCTGCAATTTCATCTCAAGCTTTTACCGACCAAACACAAAAAACATAACATTCTCAAATCAAATCTACTTACATCTTTACAGCTTTTGCACCGAAAGAAAGGCCTTCCAGGGTTCTTCGCCGTGCTCGATGTTAACATGACGACGTCTAGCCCACATTTACACTTAACAGGAAACCCACGGCTATTGAAACCTCCAGCTTCAACATTCGAAATCATCCCTGAATTGCAGCCTCCACTTTCAACATTCGAATTCCTTGAATTGCAGCTCATAATGCAGATTTGATCGAAAAAATTGAGAGAGATTGATTTTTAGGGTTTTGGTTTTGATTTGGGGATTTTTCGAGTTGAGGATCGACTTTGTAGTCTCAGATTCTCTAAAACGTCGTCGTTCGACAATAACGGAGACCTCTGTAACGGACGCAGTTACGCTGTTAGAAGCGCAGTTACTGAGAATTAACGGTGAGTCGATTAGGCCGGGTCAACGAAAACTTATAGGTTAAATTAGAAGTCAACTTTTTGTTGAGGTATAAAATGGCCATTTCAAGAGTTCACGGTTAATTTGGCCACTTTTTGAAAGTTTAGGTATTAAATAACATTTTTCCCGTTCTAAAACAGACCATAAGACGGTGAATAGCGCGTTGGACAGCCCAACTTAAAAGAATCGATTGACTATTATCGAATTTACAAAATAAAAACTAAAAAAAAAATAAAAAATCCCAGACATTAACCTAAAATCGATCACAAAACCTAAGAGCAAAGCAAATCGACGGCGACGGGAAAGTAGAAAAGCTGAAGAATAAGAAGAAGACTCTTGCTTCCCGCAGATCTCTGTCTCCTCTCTCTCTCTCGTAACTGTAGAAAAGCTAAAATCACAAAACCGCAAAGCAAATCGGCGATGGCACCGAAGAAGTGGTGGACAACCGTCAGAACCCACATACTTCCAGTGACAACCCTCCTATTTCCACAGTCTTCTAGTGAAGAAGAGAAATGTGGCTCATCTGGAGAAGTATCTGAGTCTTCCAAGAAGCCTGAATCCGATTCGGAGCCTGCTCAGACGATGGAGCTGACGCCTGTTGTGACCAAACCAATTCCAGACAAGTCTGGATCTGACGCGACTGTACCTGAGAGTTCAACGGCTAAGCGTCCTTTGAAGGAAGCTGCTTCTTCTGAAGCTATTAAGAAGCAGAAGACATCGGAGACTGAGCATGTGAAGAAGCCGACAACAAATGATGAGGTTAAGAAGATTTCTGGAGATGATGGGAAGAAGTTGTTTCAGAGATTGTTCAGCGAGGCTGATGAAATCGCATTGCTTCAAGGTATTATTGATTTCAAAGGAGATCCTTCTGATATTGATGGTTTTTGCATTTACGTTAAGGACTTGATCGATTTCAAGGCTACCAACAACCAAATCGTTACCAAACTTAAGAGGTTGAAGAAGAGGTTTAAAAATACTGTGAGTGACGATGAGATTCAATTTGATAAAGATTTTGAGCAGAAACGCTTTGAATTGTCGAGAAAGATTTGGGGAAACAATGGTGATTTGACTTCTAAATCATCAAAGAAGAAACATGGAGGAACCCCTGCCCCGAAAGAGATGAAGAAACCGGAAAAATCAGAGACGAACACAAGTCTCTCCATTGGTAAAGAGATAGCGTCGTTCTTCAATGCGAGTTCTTGTGGTTTGGATGAATCAACAATAACTGCGGGTTGGGCAAAGGTTGCGGATGGAGCAGAGAAGAGAGAAGTGGAGGAAAAATGGAAGAAGCTCAAGGGTAAGGAGTATGAGCTATGTTTGCAGAGGTCTGAACTCCTGAACAAGCTCAAGGGTAAGGAGTTTGAGCTTTGTTTGCAGAGGTCTGGACTCGTGAACGAAACTGCACAGATGATACTCAAGGCCTTATAATCCTGAGCGTTTGTCTTTTTACTTCCTAGTATACATTTTGAGTCTTTTTTATTGTGCATTTTAGCTTGTGGAACTAATCTTATGTAAGTATTTGTCGTATTTTCTTTATGCCCCTATGTTGGATGCTTGGTTTGGGTATAAGTAAGACCCCTTTGATTATTCTTTAGTTCTCTTTGTTCGGTTTCTGAGAAATGTTCCGGAAAATGGAATGGCCCTTGTAGTTTCTGATACAAAATATCACTTTTTAGGCGAAATCAAAATCCACCATAGCCTTAAAGTTAAGTCTTTTAGGTCCCTTTAAACTCTAAAAACTTTGTGTTAAAACTCTAACCTTTTGCCAAATTGCTGCTTTGCAAAACAAGCAATGCAGAGTCAAACTTATAGCATCCTTTGTAAAAACTGCCTAACTCTTTTGTTAGAGTTGTGAAATAACTTGTCATATTAACTTGTAAACCTATGTGAGTAAGCTATGGGATGCAATCCTACAATGCTCGACTGCAAGTTTCATCATATGCTTCCCTTGTGAAGTGAAGCTGGAGCTTCCTGGGGACTGCACAATTAAGAGGCAAAACTCATCATCACATGGTTTTGCAGTTTGCATATCGGTAAAAGACCAGAAATGATACTTGCGAGCAGATAACGTTCTGCAAAATCATTTCCTAACTTTGACGTCGTTGTGCATCAGTAAGGTCACATAGATTTATCAAATGATACTTACGACGAGATAACGTTCTAAAGAATCATTTCCTAACTTTGACGTAGTTGTGCATCACTAAGATCACATAGATTTATCAAATCCAATTAGTTACGAATGCTCACCTTGTCTTGGACCAAACAGTGCTTTAGATCGTATTCATTTCAGAACCTGTTCCGTGAGTTTTGGGCTCCGGCTAAACATGAAAAAGTAAGGTTCTACATAGTAGAGACTCTTTGTACGTAAATGTATTTTTGAGACCGAGTGCTTTCGGCAATGTAAACTTAAGCACATGCCAAATCTATACTATATAAAAGTCGAGGCTATAAGCTTCTTAGGCTGTCCACATAAGCTTTTAAATGACCAATCGCGAATAGCCATTTCGTCAGTTAACATTTTTAAATTTTACAAAGTCTCTATATTAAAATACTTACACATGGAAACAAGATAAATGTAAATTTTTGTTATCAGCATACATAAAAATAATTGATCATTATTAATATTAACATAAAATGAAATGTTCTTTAAAATTAACATAAATAATAAAGAATAATGCCAGTTTTACAATTATTAATTGTTACGGTAACGATTCACTTTATAAAATATATAAATCTTCCTTTTTGTTGTTGTAGATATTGCCAATAAAAGAAAATTTAGATCTTTTTTTTTTTTAGTAGAACGAAAATTTAGATCTTATACCGCCTCTTAATTTTATATAAATACCTTGCTTAATATTCACATCCAGATCATAAGTCATAACAACTCAAATATCTGGCACTATAGTTTTATAAAAATATTAATATTAATGGTGTTTACATTTACGTATGATGGCATGTTGGATTTGCATAAACAAACAGGTTGGATTTGTAGAAACAAGACGTGAATCGATCGTTCGGATGTTGTTTCAACCGATCAACAGGTCATAATCTATACTACATGTATTATTTAGTTTAGTGTTGTAAATTCTCATCAAATCTCTGTTTACATTCGTCATAGAATCCGTAGATTCTGTTAATAGATGCACACTCATGGTTTCCTCTTAAGAGAAAAAAGTTTTCAGGGTATTTGATCTTGTAGGCAAGCAGAAGACAAATAGTCTACAAACTCTACTTCTCGCGGTCAACGTAATCTCCTAAGAATAAGTAGTTTGCTGCAGGAGGGAAACTCCATACTCGAAAAGCCTCAATAAATCTGAGTATTGACCGTGAATATCACTTGAAACAATACAAAGACAAAAGCTACACATCAACCTAAGAATTCACCAAAATATGCAAAGATATTTGAGTTGGATTTGCTAATATCAAAACGAACTTGCTTTCTCTCACATAACGAAGCCTCTAAGTTTTTGAGACTGTCAATAGCCTAAAGACAAATGTTACGCATCAACCAAGGAATCCACATGAACCATAATCAACTATGTTTGAAGAGAAACAAACAAATTAATGCATGTTCACCAGAAAAGATCAAGAAGAACTTGCTTCCTATCAATGAGTGACCAGATTCTCACAGGCAGGTTCCAAAACTTTAAAAACAGTGGAAGCCGAATAAACATATCCATCATTAAGGGACATCAACTGGTTAAAAGATACATTGCTCCGTTAGTTTCAAGAACCAAATTTCTCCCCCACTTAACATTCTCTTCAACCTCATGAGGTCCAATTTAATGATCTTATTTCTCTCCTTTACTTTTCTTTCTTACAAAATTAGTTGCTGCAATATCTAAAAGTTGAGGCTATAAACTCATGAGTCTGTCCACGTCGTATTTTAGACGACCAGTCGCGATTAGTCATCTCATTAGTTAACATTTTTATATTTTTGAAAACTACCATATTAAGATATTTATAAAAAGAAAAAAAAAGCATAGATATAGAAACAAGAAAAATGTAAACTTTTGAAAAACATATCGAAAGAAGAAATATGTAAAATTTTGTTATTAGAAATTATAAAAATAATATCATTATTAGTCTCACAAAATTTTTCAAAATTTCATCTTAATCACAATTAGGGATGGACATTTTGTTTTATTTTCGAGTTAAGTTTGATTTGGTTATTTTGATTTCTGTAAAACTATAAATCTCTAACCAAACTCAGCTTGGTTTAATTCGGTTTGGTTTGATTTGGTTTTGCTTGATTCGGTTTGTTATTAATTGATTCGGTTTGTTATAAAAAGAAATCATTTATATAAAAAAAATGATAATAAATTGAAGCAAGAAAAAGTAGAATTTCCTTTGTTGGTATACATAAAGAAAATTCATAATAGTCTCACTAAGTTTATAAAATCTCATTTTACAGTTACTCACATCTATCTATCCACTTTGGTTTTTAAAAATCTAATCAAAATTATCTATCTCAAACAATATAAAAATAGAAGCTATAAGTTTATGAAACCGTCCACATATTCTTTTGAACGACCAATCGTGATTAGTCATCTCACGGATTAACATTTTTTTCCATCTCATTAATTAACATTTTTAAATTCTAATATTTTCTATACTAAAATATTAATCAAAAGGAAAAGAAAAACAATATATGGAAAGAAGAGAAATATAAATTTTTGAAACAACAACATATAAAAATAAGACAAATGTAAAGTAAAGTATAGATTACTATATTACCTTTGGTTATATTTTACCAAAATTCCATTTTTTCAATAAATGTTGGTTCAATATTTTCCAAATTAAAAAGGCATATAATTAAGAAATCTATTAATACTTTTTAAGAAATCAAAAAATAATTCTTAAAAGTTTACGAAGATAGTGAATTTAAAAATTAAAAATATTTATTTTCTTTACTTTTACTTAAATTCCGTCGAAAAATATTAATCCCTAAATTTATGACTGCTTCTTTGTTCTCTAGCCATATCTTTCACAAAATTAAAGAAATATTGTTTAAAAAATAAGTTGATAATGACGTGTATATATAAAAAATAGAATTATTTTCTTTCTTATAGATATCATAGAGTTAATAGCATAATTTCTACATGTATTTTTAATAAATTATTTTGAATTGTTATTCAGTGGTTATGATGAATGCATCATCAATTGCTTCTGCCCGAGAAGTGCCACAAGCTACTAAATCTGAGGAAATGGCGGCGGTGCCAGGAGTTGAGGAACATAAATGTAAGACCGTGAAAGAAAGCTTTATTTGGAAAGATGTTTAGGTCAATATAATGAAAATTAAGTGGAGACAACTATGACTATAACTTCTTGTTTGGTTATTTAAAAAAACTCAAGTTTTATATACTTGAGTTAGATGATATCTAGCTAGACAAAAAGTGTGGGTACTGGTATGGAAATTATGGAAGGAGTTGTTATTCTTAGAGTACCATTGAAATCAACAACTGGAATTTGTGAGACGTAAGAAAGGTAATTAATTGATGAGAATTTCCTTGCATTATGAACAATTGACGTTATAATCTAGGTAACAAAGAGGGTTGATTTCCATGTAAAAAATGAAGGATAAGGAGAGAACGCTGATAGACTCGCTACAAGCGAGATATAGATAGAGAGAGAGCCATTGTCATGAGGGAGAAGAGGTCTAATTGTGACACTATTAGACAAACTTGGATTATCAGATAAGAAAAAGAAAAGTGAGAAAACAGTTATGACATTACCTCTTTAAGGCAATGTTTGGTTCCTATATAGCTGAAACTTGATTGCGAGGTTTCTGGTATTACTGTCTTGAGTTAGAATGGTGAGGAGTATTCTGGAGACATGGAACTAAGTTCTGGTAGAAGGGCATCGAATTTCGAGTTCAGAATGTCAAATGGACGATGTTGTTTTGGGTAGTCAAATTATAGGCGTATGGAGCTATGTTTGGGCAAGGTTAGTAAGTTTAAATTTTTTGCTCTGTTTTTAACTAACATTTTACATAGAAGAAGGAAGAAAGTGAGGAAGAGGAAGAAGAAAGAAAGTGAGAAAAAGGAAGGAGAAGAGTATAATGAAGAAACGGAAGTTGAAAGTAATGATGACAACGGCCATGAAAATTTGATAATGAAAATGAAGAGAAGGAATTCAAATTTGATTCCTAAACACTATCGATTTTTTAATTTTCATATCTTGAGCCACCAGAACAGGATAAACAAGACCATTCATGTACTAACATTTGTGATGATCTTCCAAAAATCCGAAAAGAGACAAGAAAAAACTTGAATTTGGATACAAAAGCTAGGAAAAGTTAGACTATTTTGGTTGAAGCTCTGAACCAAGTTTGATGCAATGAGACAAAACCGAAAGTAAATCATCGAATACTCGAGTAACGAAAAAAGCAGCTCTCAAACTTGATTTCATTGGTAGGAGACTAAGGCAGATCCGAGAGAGCCAAGGCGGGC